TGCTTTTTCTCAGTCGTAAAAATATAGTCAAATTGAAGCTGAAAGCATAAAGAATCGTTTGCATGCATTTAGCGAAGTGTTTTCGTAAGAAAATCCAGTGAAAATAGTGTTTCAATTTGGGTTGCCGAAAATAGTCTGGCATGCCGAAGCCGTCATTTCCCCTAGTTAAGGAAAAACCAAGACATAAGTTCAAAAGTAAACCACGCAATAATTATTTTAATAGAAATGACTACCCCCTTGATTTCATTTCGCATTTTACAGCTGGTATAATCAATTTGACAGATCGATGTCTTTCTATACCACTTGAAATCACTGAAATGGGATCGATTTTTGATTATCGACTTCCACATATGTTATGTGACGAAAGTCTAATGTGAAATTTAGTGCTCTGAGAACCGATTTCTTCATCTCCGCTTAACTCTTAAGTCAGATTTTCCTATATAGTTAAACTTGGCTTAACACATACGAGCGTCGCTTTGGATTATTATTTAAATTATTAGAGACGCAAAATTCAGCTCCAAAACAATTTTGGAAATAATTAAATTGAGGGTGGATTTTAACGAGAGTTCTGAGAAGAATTCTATGATGATTGAATGAGGATTCCGATAAGAATTTAAATATGAATTCAAAATTATTTCTGTATTTTGCTTAAGGGAGCTTTGATGAAAATTTCTTTAAAAGTCCGTGAATTCCAAAAATGGTCTGTACGGATAATTCTAAATGAATTCTGGGGTGATTTCTGAAGATACTTCCAATACTCTCTTAGCTACGATTATCTAAAATTATCGGTATTTTTACCGATAAAAATCGTTACTTTTTACTTTAAATAGGCTATTTTTTAATATAATTTAGGTAATTTTTAACGTTAATTATTGGTAATCCATGATTACCGATAATTTAGGTATGTGCACTTTCTTCGATTATCAGTAATTTTTACCGATATCTAGGTAATCTTTACCGACTTTAACGTATGTGCATCTTAGCGTGTAGAATTCTAAAGAGTTCGAAATAAATTCCGAGAAAAATTCCAATGGAATCGAATTTTTAAGGGTTCAATCTCAAAGGAATTCCGAGAAGAGTTTCAAAGTTATTCTGTGATGGATTTTTGTTTTGAGAATTCTGAGGAAATACTATGGGAATTCTAAGGAGAATGAATGCCGAGGAGAATTCCAAGGTTATTCTAAGCAGAAATTTATTAAATTTCTGAGTTTAAGTGCTAATTCTAAGGAGCAGCGAGCAAGGACAATTTTGAGGAATGGACGAAACGGGTAGTTGTTTGCGTCAGATGGCGACGCAGGGGGAAACACTCCTCACCATCCCTCATTACCGGATGAGCTTGGTAAAGGAGATGCTCTACTCGATTCGTACCTTCCTCAAAATTTTCCTTTGTTCGCTTTCTACTTTCAATATACAAATTTCACACTGCCTTACTAAAACGGAACTATCAACTCTTTACTTTCATCTCCTCATCATCAAATGTCCACTTTAATTCTGATATTTCATGTTAAGCAATTCCAACTACGAAATAATCTTTTTCCAAGAATTTTGTTGATTGTTTTGCAATGAATTTCAAGAATGCAATATTATTTTTGTAAAAGCTTATTTGCCTCTAAGTTTAAGAGAAGGAAAATTATTCTAAAAAAGTTCTTGAGATCATTCTGAAGAAATTCTGTGAAAAGTTCTTAGCGAATTATCAAAGTTATTTACCTAGATATATCAAAATTTTAAACATTTCGAACGTAAAATCAAGTTCAAGCTCATACAAAAAATAGGAATTACTATTTACTAGGCATCAGGTATAACGTAAGCAAAAGTAAATTATTCAAATCACTTCAAAAGCACTTGACATGAGATTCCGTTGTGAGATTCGAATAAATTAGAGGAATTTATGAAATTTGAATTTAAGTTCCAAGACATAAAAAGTTTATTTCAATATCAGACCGTATTTTAATTTCTAAGTTTATATGGTAACTTATTAATTATTTAGAAGTCACTATTTGGTCACTATTTCCTTAATTTTAGTCACTAAAGTCACTACTATTATATCGCATCATCACTACCAGCCCTGAAAACAGCAACTCGATGATTAAAAGGAGCTCGTTTGCCTAGTGGTAACGTTTTTGCTTACTGAGTAGAAAAATGTTAGTTTCAATCCCAAGCTCGTTCGCGTTATATGATCGTTCATACATCAATTCAGCTTATCGTTAATAAAAACGAACCCTGCTGCAAACCCAACCCTTTTACCCAACATCTCAGTGATTCCTCGTGGAAGTGCAGAGATGTTCTCGGCTTCCATCAAAGCGAGTGTCACGTCAAGATATTGCTACCCATTCCTGTCTTGACCTGTGTGCGGGCGCGGCCGGCGCTGGTATTACCTAGCTTGAGACCACCAGTTTTTACACATTGAGGATGATTGCTAGTCCCAAGCATCGTCTATTGGTTCTCTGTGTAATTACAGCTGATATGGCAATAACAGAGTAACAACCGTGGGCGGTCAATCAGGCTCATGCTAATGCTCCAATGGGGGTGCATTGAGACAAGCAAGTTGAACAAACTCATGTTTGGTCGAGGTAGATTTGGAAGCTATGTTTTGACAGAAAACCCGAGTAAATGTGGGAAAGTTCAACCAACCATGATACCAACCTAGTATTAATGCAGCATTTGATACAGTCCAACAAACTGCAAACAACGTTCGACTGAAACAGATATATAGTGATCAGCAGTTGATAGGTAACAGTTGATGATTCAGGAACAGGGAAACAATATGAGAGAGAAAGTTCTGCTATCTGTAATAACCTCATCAATGCAGGATCTGAAGCACTTACAACTATTTCAAGAACACTACGATAATGAAATAGGATCGTCTTTTATCAACGAACTAGAACTAGAAGAGAATGTTGCTGGATTTGATGATGAAGAAGGTGATGACTTAAATGAAGCCATAGAAAGGGAACCCCGAGTTCGTGAACTTCCATGTAAATATAGAGATTATATTATGCAGGGTGGATGTACCAGATATGGCTATACGTTCCTATTATGGCGTGTTGCGAATTATGACCTATGGAATTCCCATAGGCCAAAACTGGAACACAACATAATATGAACGTATAGCCATGACTAGTGCTTCAACCTTAGTTGTTGAGAGCTACACACTTAGAAATACCTAATTTTACACGTGACGGAATCCATCTTTGGCATAAAGAATGAGACGTTAACAAACATGTCATGTAAAATTAAGTGCTCCGAGACTGAATAGTTCAATACTCGACGAAAAGTACGTTTGATTGAGCTGAATTTCGCGTCTATTATGACTCAATTTTATGTTAAAATTGACGCTCGTATATGTCAGTCTCATAGCACCTAAATTTACATCTACATTGTGCGTGACGAATTTTTGCAGTAAATGGCATATTTGAGAAAAAATACACCAGTTAGTTATTCTAGCAATGAATTTTGTGCGATTTATTTTCTTTCGCAACATATGGAAGTTGTAAGTAAATTTATTCAAAAATATTGCCTTCCCTTTCGACGACTGTAGTTAGACGCTTCCGGAAACTGCAGTATGCACGTTTTAAAATGTTTCGATCCATAGATGTCATCACCAGTCTTGTAAGCGGTCACGGTAGTCGACACATTTTCTGTGATAATTGACTGCCTTTACCTCCGACACTTGCAAAGCAAGCTATCATAGTACAGTACCAAACTAAAATGTCGTATGACAGGCTCTGTCATACGACACTGTCGCTGAAGACCGTCACGAATGTATGTATTTTAGTTTTTCTCATAATAGGAGCTGCTGATGATGTGCTTGTGTGATAGCTATTTTGATAATTTTCTTTTAGTTCGAATGTTATTCTATCGCTCGTGATGTGTGAGAGAGACGACGGTAGAGCATGAGTGTTCGAATACAAACAGACTGTCGCGCACGACAACGAAGCGAGTGTAGTAAAAAACGTCAACTGTTTCAACCCCTGGTCATCACTGCCTTGATTTTAGCTTTTAGCGACTTAAGTGTGGTGTGAGGGGTTCTATTGGTATCCCGTTGGACGACGCCCTATACAAAATAATCCAACGGATTGATATCGGGACTGCTTGGGGGCCAAATTTCTTCCTCCCAAATTTACGAAATATTTTCCGTAAGCCATTTCTGTGCTTTATTAGCAGTATGAGCAGGTGCTCCGTCTTATCACTTTTCCAAGCCTTTTTAATATTATACACTGTTCTTTCAGACACATTTACCGACCGAATTATTTCTTTCATGCATACTCCGGCGCGCAACAAAGCGACAACGGCTGACAGATAGCTCTCTTGTTTCGACATCTTTACGTTTACTCAACATTGTTTGTTTAAATCTTGCACCTAACAGTATAAGCTATCCAGTGCTGCCAAATATATCTAAATCATGATGCACAAGCATGAGAAATTACTATTTGAAATTTACTGCAAAAATTCGTCACGCACCCTGTAAGTGTGTATTGTAGATTTCTTCACTAAAATTAATCTTTTAAATTTGTTTAATAAGAAAAAACTACAGGCTTTGCTAAATATGAATCTGTGTGGTCAATTCTACGGGTTTATCCAAAAATCCACATATTTTTTGATTTACTACAGATCTACTACGGACCGACTACGGGTTTTCCAGATTTTTTAAAGTACCATAGTGCCCGCTCATCACTTAAAAAAAATAACTTTTTGAATGGCTTTTTTAGAAAATATTCCATTTACTGCCCTGTGCGGACAACGCCGATGAAATTACAGTCCCATTAGAATAGAAAAACAAGCAAAGGTGGTATTGGTATGCCGCACAGTTTAACTAAACTAAACAATAACCTATCTACGGATCGTATTCCATGGAAAGTTAACAACACTGTTATGAATATACGATGGGCAGAATAATCGTAGTGACTGAAGTTTTTTTCTCTTTACTCTCAACCCGAATGTGGTACACAAATTTAAAGTGGCTGATCATCGGCCCTTACCTTGTGTTTTCGTTGTGTGGATAAATTGAAATGAAAGAACACTGATTGTTTGGCCGTCCTGCCATGGTAGAGGCATATGAACTACTGTTTTTATTGTTGTTGAGTATAGCACAGAATCAGTATACAGCGAGTTACACATATAATTTACGTTGCACAATCGGTGGGTTTTTATATTTTAAGTAAATGTAGTACAAGTTTTGAATATTTGGACTGAAGAAGATTATCATGATTCAATACGGATAATATTTGGATGTTTTCAACCAATCCAAATGCATTGATCGCCTCTGTTTTACCAGCGATTCCAGTACTTCAAGATGGCATTTTTCGAGTCTAAAGTTGAGAACATCTAAATTTTCCTTCATTCGATCCGCATTTGAAGACTTTGGAATTGGAATGGTGCCTCTTTCAATCTGCAATAGAATTAGGAAAATGTATGTTTAATTTTAAAACTTCATAAAAATCCAATTCGATTGCATACCAAATATCTGAGGGAAATTTGCGCCGGAGACTTTCCGTACTTCACGGTCATCTCTTTCAAACCAGGTGAATCCAAAAAGTTGTGCTCCTTTCCCGGTTTCGGTTTACCCAGTGGGCTATAAGCCATAACCAGTACTTCCTCTTGTTCGCAAATCTTCCGCAATTCCGCTTGATGGAATCCAACCGAATATTCTACCTGATTGACCACAGGTCTGATGTTCCCCACTGCAATGATTTCCTTCAACTGTTTCCCGTTGAAATTAGAAACTCCAATCGATCGCACTAATCCCTTCCGTTGGCACTCTTCGAGCGCCTTCCAGGTTTCCACCGGTGTCACTTCGTCATCAATCTCCGAACGGTCGTTTCCATCACCCAAATCCTTTATCGCCACCGGTGTATGCATCAGGTACAGATCTATATAATCTAACTCCAGACGTTCCAAGGAGAGCAGACATCCCTGTTCGACCCGCGCTGGCCGATGGTACGCCGGGCCAAGTTTGGAAACCACAAAAAGATCTTCCCGTTTCACTTTGCCCTCGGAAATTTGTTCGCGAAATGCTTGGCCAAGAACTTGTTCGTTGCCATAAACGAATGCGGTATCGAACAGGCGATATCCGATGTCGATGGCCGCCTTAATCGTTGCAACTCCTTCTCTTCCGCTGATTTTGTACGTTCCGAACCCGATCGGAGGAATGTACATTCCACAATTTAGCGTCAACATGGTTTTAATTATTAAGATTTTTATAAGAACGCAAGTCTAATGACGTGGTATATAATGAACTATACTACTATAACATAACCTCACTTTTGAATCAAAACAAATCTTATTTGCTAATTGGGAAAATATTTATTAATAGATAATGAACATCATATAAGAATCTTTTCACAGATGACTCTCGTTAGGAATTTTCCTGGCTCCTCAATTGAGATTTAGTAAATGTTTGATAATTAAACAGACTTAAGAATATAATTGCACACTTTTATCGTCATCGTTATTACATACAATTGTTTTAATTTTTAAATGATTCGACTGTGACAAATCTTACAAAACTCAAAACTCATCCTTCATCTCGACGAACAACTTCTTTACCTCCTTAACCGACAGTTGCTCCTGCACCGGTTGATACTTATCCATCTGATCGCAATCTCTCACGGCACCGAACCGTGCCATGTCGGCTTCCAGCAGGACGTACACATGCTTGGCAGCCGCCACCAGTCGATGATCGAATGCATTCATCTCGATTTGCGTCCGAACGTAGTCCTTGGCCATATGCAGATCGCTGTAGATGTACGCACAGTTGAAGTAGAAATCGAAGCTCAAGTTGCCCTTCGTTACCGATCGTTGGAGATTCTGCGGACCATAGACTTGCAGTAGCACGTTAACGGCTTCCGAGAACACGGCATAGCTATCGTCCAAAGAGTTCATCATCACCAGATAGAATGCGTAATCTTCCAATGTCTCCGCGTAGATGACACTGGATGGACCGTAGTTGTGCCATGCTCGACTAACGGCTTGCGTGATCATGAGCTTTGCTTGCCGTGGCTGCTTTTGCGAAACACATGTCTTAGCCAGATGACAGAGGACTTCGATGATCAAGCGATTTGAAGATGCTCCCTCAACTAGCAACTCCAACGCCATTAGTGCAAATTCGTGACTGAAGGTGAAATTGTAGTTTTCGTAGCGACAGATCGAAATGGCCAAATACAAACTCGCTAGGAACGATTTCGGTATCTCGTTGTTCTTGGCGATGAGCGTCTGTATGGACGCACTAGTGTCGTATGCTGAAGGATGCCACACATAGGTTTGTGAGATTAGCTGCGGTCTCATAGCGTTGAGCTGTTGCAATGGCCGCTGATTAGCTTGCTGTCTAGCCACGTTCAGTACCTTGACGGCCTCATTATGCCAGCCAGTTTCCGACAGGAACGTGCCAAGTCTCAAACTTCCTTCGTACCCCAACAGGTGTGAATCGTTCCGAATGGATTCCTTTCGGAACTTGTAGCAATAGTTGGCGACCATATCGCTCACCAGTGTCCTATCGAAAACTTCCAACCATTGAAAGCATTTCACCAGTTTCGCTTTATTGTCGCTCCGGCTCCGAAGGATCCTGTCTATCATCCATGGGTTGATCAACAGCTGCCGTTGCAGTTTCATTAATTTCGGGTAGTCACACATCTCTTCCAGGGCGTCGATGATAAACTGAGTCGGTTGGTGTTGCATTTCCTCGGCTAAATCTTCGGTTTCCTCCCGTGTAACACTAAGATGCAGAACGTATGCTTTCAAGGCCATTTCGACGAGACTGCGGAGGGTGGTGAGTGGCTTTTTCCTTGTCCGTTTCAGCGTTTCCATATTCACTGGCCAATAGTACATGGCGCGATTCGTTGGGACTTTTCTCACTGCGAAAGTGTGACGAAACTGATATGGCAAATTGACGGCCGAACGGTTAATGTACCCCGCCAGGTATCATGTTAAAAGGATTTACGATCTAGGTTTATTTGTACCTAGAATCTGGAAAGGATTTACGTTCGATACCTGTACCTAGAATCTGGAAAGGATTTAGGTCCGGTACCATTTGCATTCAATGGGATGAATGTGGTTTTGGTGCCAACGGAATTCTCTTTGATTCTTATAGGAACTCATAACGACATAAAGTGTTGATAGGATATTTCGATTAATTTCCAATATTAGCTGTTTTATTACATTGTTTTTTTTTCAATGTATTTGATTTTTGATAATGTTCAAATCATCTCAAATGTCTTTAGTAAACAACTTTTAAATAATTTATTCCGTTGCTATATTCCGTGCTGATCTCGTGATGTCTTTACCGTACCTGTAACTTCTTTCTGTTTCTTTTTCTGTTCGGGACATAAAACAAAAGTAAAGTGCATGTCGTATTACTCCATAAAAACCCTAGTCTTAACCACTTCAAACTAGGGAACAACGAATAGAAGATTAGGAATCACATACATGAAGACTAACCCATTTTTTCTTTGTTTCAAGATCATCCTCGGCCCAGGCAACCCGAGGACTTATCACTATTAACAAGGCATAAAAAAGTAACTAAGCACTAAGATGTGTTCCTTTGATTACTGAAAAATCCTGTTCCCCGTAGTTTGAAGTAGTCAGGGCAGGACTAGGAACCGGTGGTAGATCTTAAATCCCGTAAGGTGATCTACCCACGTTACGTCTTTCTTCTTACTTGGGGGTTTCACTTTTGGAATCCCTACCCCTAAAACCCACTCTGTCACTCCTGGTCTCCTTGAATCCCAGTTTAGACGGTTAAATTCGGCGTTCAACTCACTTGAACTACGAAACGAACGAGCAGAAAACTGGTCGATGTCGAACTTTTGCAGTTCGCTTTCAAGCCACTTGAACTCCAGATCGGGTGAGTTGAATCAACTCATTTGAACCGTGTACCTTTGAGCCTTTATGATGCCGCATCACTCCATAAAGATAAACCATGGTGATGGGAATTTCCGTTGATGCATATGTGGTATCACGAAGAAATACTCAAAGGGAGAGATTTTTTTTTATATCTTTATTAAGGAGACTTTCAGCCCTGGGCTGGTTCCGATGTGCGGTAAAAGAGGTGAGGAGAAAGGAAACTAGTGGACTCTTTCATTCTGACGGTGTTCTTATGCAACAGCAGACGTGACGTCACGTCTGTTGCTGCGTAAGAAGACGCGAGAACGAAAGAGTCCACTAGTTTCCTTTCTCCTCACCTCTTATACCGCACATTGGGCTGGTTCGTCTCCGAAAGGGAGAGATCAAAGGAGAAAAAAAAATACAATTCGGCAGCAGAGTTTTGTATGTAAATTATCTTGCAACCCTGCTAGCATTTCACATGACTTTTCTTTACGATTCGATGTACGTGTAAAATAATAATTGAGTGCATCTCAATAGTTTGCACATTTCTTGGTGCCATTAATTATCCAACAAAGATCAATTAATCAATAGAATATTATTTTTGATTCTAAAAACAAGTTGAATTTGAGATGCACACGAAAAATAAATTGATGATTGAATTTCTATTTGATTACACTATTCTCAAATATGATCTAGTAAGAATAAGAAATCCTCCGAAAAAATCTAATGGGAATGTTATATTGACCCAGATTTTGACAGTTCACTTGGCTCAAAACATTCTCTCCGCTCATTTCAAGGATTTATGGTATCACGTAGACACTAAATGTATGTATGTATGTAAGGTAGCCACCATCCCTTCAAAGATCTTGTCTTGTATGCAGCTTCACTTAATAGCTAGATCAATTTGAGCTACCGTTCTGAATTCACAATATCGCTGTATGAAGGGCCAAAAACGTAAGGGCGGACCCGTAAGCAGAGACACTTACGTGAAATCCACGAGAATTTAAGAATCTCCTTCCAACGATACGATCCAACAAATCGAATAACGCAATTCGCGTTACTTATTAAGCTTCCTAACGGATGATTTGCTTGCGCGTCAATCTCACTGAAACTGTTGGGATAGAATTCACACCACCACAATCGAATCGGTAGGATAAAGAAAATGATAGTGTTTATTCCCTCCTAGACTCCGGTTGTCATACCACTCCATCGTTCAATTCCAGCTCAAATGATACCCTGACGCTCCCGCCTCCCAAACCCAGTATTTATATACTGTGGTGGCCTTTAAATTAGCACAATAGGCCGATTTTCATACAAACTAGTTAACTTTGGCATGTTGCAACTATGTTTTGTATCCACCGAGCTTTACCACTCCAAGCGAAACGAGTGCCGGCAAATCATCAGGGATGCCAAGAAAAGTAGCTGGGAGGAATTTTTGGAGGGAAACAACTCCAACCAAACGGCGTCCGAGTTGTGGAGCCGGGTCAACGCCCTCAACGGAAAAAGAAAGGCCAGGGGGATGGCCCACGGCCTCCCAAGTGACCTCACACGAGACCCGCTAACCATCGCCAACGGATTGGCTGACTCTCTGCCTCTGACCGCTATGACAGGATCTTCATACAAAAAATCACGCATCCACACAGAGCCTTGGCAACATTGTTATTCCGGAGGATTCTGTACCTACGCCCATCAACGCGTCCTTTCGATTCGATGAACTAACCCTTGCACTAACCCTTGCAAAGGGAAATCCGCCGGCCCGGATGATATAGGATACCCCATGCTGCAACATCTCCCGTCCAGCACCAAAGTCGAACTGCTAGACCTAATAAATAAAATCTGGATAGAGAACACCCTGCCAAAGGAATGGTCCCACAGTCTGGTAGTCCCCATCCCAAAGCATGGGCAAGTGGCCTCTACTCCGGAAAACTTCCGTCCGATCTCTCTTACTTGCTGCATTAGTAAAGTCATGAAACGGATGGTCAATCGCCGTCTAATTCGCTTTCTCGAGGACAACGACCATCTCTTCCACCGACAGCATGCGTTCAGATCCGGTCACGGCACCTTTGCGGCAGAAGCTTTCAGGTGATGATCGGGAACCACCGCTCCTCAACCCGGGCAGAAGAAACTGGAGTCCCACAGGGATCCGTCATAGCGGTCACCATGTTCTTGGTCGCCATGAATGGAGCCTTTGGGGTCCTACCAAAAGGAATATACATATTTGTACATGCAGACGACATCGTCCTGCTGGCTATCGGACGCACCCTCAAGGCTTTGCGAAGGAAATTACAAGCTGCTGTATCAGCCACCACAAGATGGGCCTGTAGGGTCGGCTTTTAATTATCCGCAGAAAAGAGCGTGGTTTCCCACCTATGCCACTCCCGTCATCGCCCGTTACCAACAGCCATTGTTGCGAACAATATTCCAATACCCAACAAGAAGACCATCCAGGTTCTTGGTGTACGCTTGGACCGGGAGCTGAGGTTCGACGTACATTCCAATGAGATCAAAGCCAACTGCCGCACGCGGCTAAACCTCCTCCGGAAACTTTCCAAACCACACCGGAGCAATAACAAAGAGATTCTACTAAAAGTGGCCAAAGCCACCGTAAACAGTAGATTATTCTACGGGATCGAACTGTTCTGTCTTTCCACGGGATCGAACTGTTCTGTCTTTCCAACGACTCTCTTACCACACGACTAGCCCCAACGTATAACCAGGCAATCAGAATCGTCGCAGGACTTCTGCCTTCAACACCGGCTGAACCGGCATGCGCCGAACTCGGTGTACTACCGTTTCAATACCAAGTCGCCGAAACGCTGAGCTGCAGAACGACCAGCTACCTGGAAAAGACCACCGGAAACCACGAGGTCTTTCTCTTCAGGGAGGGGAACACAGCTTTCGGAAACTTGGTCCATCAGGAACTCCTACCAGTGTCCAGGGTACACTGGAACGGAGCCAAAGGATGGACAGAACCAACCATACGCGTTGACCTTTCAATTGCCAAGCGCTTCAAGGCAGGTAACAACTTCCGTGCCATGCAGGCCCACGTAGCGGAGCTGCTGAGAACTAAAAACGTAAATTTTCAACACCGTTACACGGACGGCTCTAAGGCCGTGGGGAAGGTCGGATTCGGAGTAGCGGATGTATCCAATAGTTACTTCTTTCGACTACCCGATCAGTGCTCCGTCTTCTCGGTGGAGGCTGCGGCCATCCACTTCGCCACCCCGACACCCGCCAATAAACCCATATGTGTCCTAACAGACTCCGCCAGCGTTTTATACGCCTTAAATTCAGCAACATCCAGACACCCCTGGATACAAGGGATCCAAAAGCCCGCGCCGCCGAACACCTCATTTGTTTGGGTACCCGGCCATTGCGGTATCCGGGGCAACTGTGAAGCAAATCATCTTGCTGCCACAGGTCGCTCCGGCCGGATGGCCACCACAGTTGTACCCAGTCCGGACGTAAAAAAAATGGGTGAAAGCATCCCTCCGAGACGCCTGGGCCCGGGAGTGGTTCGTAAAAAGGGGACCGTTCCTGAGAAAAATAAAGGGCGACACCTCCAAATGCAATGACATTACGAGCCAATGGGAACAACAAGTCTTATCCCGGCTTCGATGCGGACACACACCCGAGCGAGCCACAACATGGGTAGCGCTACCTCTTTTCGAAACTTTTGCGACTCCTGCAACACGATTATGACAGTCGAACACCTGATTGTTAACTGTCCCTGCTTCCATAACAAACGGCTCCCCTATGGAATACCGACCAGCATACGTAACGCCCTCGTTAGCGACCCATCCACGGAAGCAGCCCTAATAGTTTTCCTAACAGATGCTGGATTATTCTATAAATTATAATCAATATATACAAAATGACGACGCCTTGAACATGGACACCACTGGAATAAGCCTGGATATCACATGACGGTTACCTGACTGCCTTCGACAACGACCACCGCCATTCACACCATGATCTGCCAACCACGCTAAGAACCAAAACAGGAACTATAATGAACTCTGTTAAAAAAAATACTCTGTACTAAGGGGACTCCCTTCTGGAGCCCCAACAACCTCTAGGAGAACCCCAAACTCTCAACTATGTAATTAGGAAAGCCCCCTTCTGGGGCTCCTGGAGATGAACCATCCTGCGGCTGAAAATCTTCTAAATAAAGATACAAAAAAAGCTTTGTTTGTTATGATCAATTGAGCTGAAATTTTGACACAGAATTACACATATGCTGAATTTTACGTGTACGTAATAGGGGAAATGTTTTCTTCGGCAATACCTTAACCTATTATCGTCAGGGGGGTAAAAAAAGTCCTAGAGCACTCAAATTTGGCCAATAGATGCTCTGAAACACCATGTATCCACATGCCAAAATTGAGCTCTCAAGGACGTTGTTTACCCCCCTGACGATAATAGGTTAAGGTATTGCCGAAGCCAACATTTCCCCTATCAAATTATTGGAAGCGCTTGCCGGTAATTGATGGGCTTGTTGAAAATGGTCAACTAATTAACACATTTATTATTCGAAATTTCCGAAGTGTTATAGTTTTAAAATGTTCAACCATCTTGCCAATAAACGACGGCGTGCTTAAGAAAGTTATTTACGATATGGTTTAAAATTTCAGAAACAACAGACCTCGGAAATTTGGAATTATAAATGTGCTATTAGTTGGCCATTTTCAACCAGCCTGCCAATTTCCGACAAGCGCTTCCAATAATTTGATATTACGTACACGCAAAATTCAGCATATTTGTAATTCTGTGTCAAAATTTCAGCTCAATTGATCATAACAAAACATAGTTGCAACATGCCAAAGTTGGCTAGTTTGTATGAAAATCGGAATATTGTGCTAATTTAAAGGCCACCACTATATATATGTATATAAAGGGTGTCCACGATGAAATTGCCACACACAAAATTGATTCGCAAAATTCGAGTTTTCATCCGATTGCCATCAAATTATCAGGGATTGAGAAATAACTATTAAACTTCATTTTACCATTTTACTCGTATTTTATTTACAGTCCATACGCAAATGCCCGCACCTTGGCCTTAACCCCGGCCATAAGATTCTGCACAACCTGTGAATCAACCGTTTTTTGCATGTAAACCCATACTTTCTTCAGTTCCTCGACTGTCTTTACTACCTTATGTCGTTTAAGAAGGTGCTGTTTCATAATCGCCCAGTACTTCTCGATGGGGCGGAGCTCCGGAGTGTTGGGAGGGTTGAACATTTTCGGCACGAAATTGACCTTATTGTCCGCATACCACTTCAGCACGTCCTTGGAGTAGAGGCACTCTTTTATGTACACCTGTCCGTTCATCGTGTCCTGGGTCACGAAAGGTGCACTCCGCTTCCCGCACGTGCAGATGGCTTGCCAAACCAGGAATTTCTTCGCAAATTTGGACATCTTCTGAGTGCGGACATGCTCCGGAACGCTGAACTTATCCTTGGCCGTGAAAAACAGGTTGCCGGGGATCTGTTTGAAGTCCGCCTTCACATATGTTTCGTCGTCCATGATGCAGCATTCAACTTTCGTCAGCATGTTGAGGTACAACTTCCTGGCACGGGTTTTGGCGGACTTGTTCTGCTTCTCGTCGCGATTAGGGGTCTTTTGTACCTTGAACGTTCGAAGCCCAGCCTTAGTTTTGGCCTTCTGGACAAAACTTCGGCTTAGGTGCAGCTTCTTAGCCACATCCCTATCGGAGGCGTTCAGATTTCGGTTGAAGGCCCCAACTACGCGGTTGTGATTTTTGGTGTTGTACGGAATACTTTTTCCTTCACTTCTGGGCTTCCGATCGGTGGTCAACCGTTCCTCGAACCGCTTAATCACTCGCGACACCGTGGAATTCGCGATTCCCAACGTTTTAGCGATGCGAGAGATCCTTGTTCTCGTGATGAATGCGCAAGATTTTATCACGCACGAGCTGTTCTTTCGACTCCATTTCCGCGAGTTTTGATCACAGGACTTTAAAACTTGCAGGATGTAAATAATGCACTATGAACTAAATCCACCCAAATTTTCATTAAATTCTACCCAACGGTTAAAAAGTTAGAGCAATTTCATAGTGTGGCAATTTCATCGTGGACACCCTTTATATATAGTTTACTCGATATCTATCAATGCAAGCAATACTTTGATAAATGTTTATGTTTTGAAAGGAAACGCAACTGGTTAAACCACAAGAATACAACGGAGTAAATTAGCAATGAATCTTACTGATTTCTGAAATCCTTAAAGTATGTAAAAAAAACTAAGTTTTTTTTTCGACGACCCTCTCCTCTTCAAAGAGACGAGCCACCAGCTAAGGGCTAAAAGTCTCTCTATCTATACTAAGGCAAAAGAACAAGAAGAACTTACTGAATTCCTTGCAGAATAATGCAGACTCGATGAAAGCTTCAACCATTTTTCTTCTTTGCCTTTCCTTCCAGATGCAACGGCTTCTGGCGGCTCGAAGTCGCCTAGATCAACTCAGGACAAGCATCACGGTGATATTCCACTACATGACGAAAAGGAACAGGACATTTGGCTTACGTGTGGCAACACCTACAAACTAGTATAGCAATGTTTATTATTGATTTGACCTTTACAGACAGCATCAATCTTGAGACGTTTCACAATACAATCACGTAAATGTAGATTTTTAATGGAATATTATGTGTTAGTGTTTATAGCTTGTAGGGTATTGTAATAACTATTCAATAAAACGTTTATCGTATTTGATATAGAAAACACTAAAATGCCCCTTCTTTTCAATTCAGTACCGCGGAAAGAGCAAACAGTCCCTATTTGAACTGCGAGGCGCTGATCCTCAGTCCAATCACGTCTTTACCTATTTCGGCTACTCGGCAAACGACGCACGTCACTCCCTTATAGGGTGGCAGATAGGAGGCGGAACATAGTGAGCATTTCTCCTCTGGCTTGCCCCGGTAGATGGGCTTGTACGTCACGGCACACAGGGTGAACGGATTGTGTTCGTCGTACTGCAGTGCATGCTCGTCGCTTTCGTTCATTTCGCAAGCTTGAAGGATTTTTCGTGCTTGCTGGGCGACTTCTGGTCGTGGGCCGAGCTCTAGCAGGCGACGCGCAAAGGATGCAGCAGTTTTGTAGTTTTTCAGTTTGAAGAATAGATTGAGCGCCGTTCGGAGGGTGAGAATCTGATGGACCGGTTGAAGGTTGACGTGCGTGAAGTAAGCGGCCAGTTCGCAAATTCGTTTTTGCTCGTCGAGGGTGTTCTTCGGGAGGCCTTTGCGGATGGTTTCCATCTGCAGACCGACGACATATTCGCGACAGATGGTTAAGAGTTGCTGAGCTTCGGCGATTTCCTGGCGCGATTCTACCACCAGAAGAGGGATGCAGAGGATGATGTGTTGGAGTTTTTCAACTGCTTCGGTGAATTTGCCCGTTGTGGTTAGTTGGTAGCAGGATTGTAGGCTTTGGACTAGGTCGTTCAATTTGAATGCTAGGGTAGGATGACAGTTTTTGATGTTCAGTTCCTTCCAGTTACGATTCGGATGCGCTGCTAGCGGACCCACGTTCGGAAGGCAAGTGTAGGAGGTTTTGGAACCGAGATGAGATTCCAGGAAGAGGTCCTTGTAGGGGGCAAAGTTGACAACTCCAATTTGGTCATGCAACAGGCGGAATGCAGTTTCGAAGGACCCGGCGCGGACATGATCCGCTGCCAGTTGAGAGTTGATAGTCCAGAAGTGGGACGGTGGTAGTCCCTTCGGTGGAACGGCGTAGAACCCTTTATCTCCAGCTGCACTAGCGGAAATCTTGGACATAAGTTCTTCCGGAAGTTCAAGATCTTCATCGCCAACATCCCAACCGGCACCTTCTCCTCCTTCGACCTTGATATCATCGTCGTCCTTCGCGTCTTCGAACTTGTCGTCGTCCCTCAAGTCATCATCCACGCCCCAACCATCCTCGTCCGCTGCCTCTGCGACGGTTTCCGTGGCAGCCAGCGCTTGATGAACGGTGGCAGCTCCACGGGACATCATCGTTCCCTCGAAAAAACCCTTCGATACGGTTAGCAGAGGCCAATTGCTCTCGGCCTGCTGGATCGGAACCGGTGGCCGCAGGAATTGGGCATTTGGATTTACCTCCGGCAGGTCCTTTTCGGCTGCGGTGATTGTTTCAGCCAATTGATTAGCATCCTCTTCCAGACCATGAGTCTTGGCGGTCAGATAAGCCAGCGACGTCTGATTGCAGTTCTTGAGGATCGACACGCGCTCCTTAACGTCCCCTAGCAACAGAGCTCCCTGGTACTGAGCCGAAACGTCCTTGCGAATTTCGGCGATTTTGTTCATTTTCTTCAACTTCTCTAGGTTGCCGGTAATCAGATAAAGGAAGGATAGTTTGTCGAAATTTTTGGTGCGTTGGTAGCACATTTCTACGACCTGGTGGTTACCCTGCATAAGAGCGGTCTAAAAGAACAATCATACGTTGAATTTCAATCATATCAAAAGTACTAAATGAACTTACCTGGGCCAGTCGCTCCCAGCATTGCTTATCATCCAAAGCCTTGGCAGCTTCCAGTGCAACTTCGATGTTACCGCACTCCAGCGCCAAACCGAAACGAGTCTTCTCGTCTTTGACAAAATGCAGAGCCACTTCCGGGTAGCCCTTCTGCTGCAGATAAGCGATGATACTTTGTCCGACCAGCCGAGCATTCCGAACCATGTGCAGCACTTCCTCGTACTTGCGGTTGATCAGAGCCAGCTTGAACTTGTACTCGGTGGTATCGATGTTCAGAACGCGAGTGCGACACTCACGATCCAAGCAGAACACCTGGCTGTTCTTAACCCGAGTTATGTAGATCGGGAGGTCCAGTGTACGGATGATTCCATGATCTCCGTTGATGATAGCGTATTTGATGTGGTTCGAGGTGGTGTAGATGAATACTCCGGACTCGTCCCAGGCACCGCTCTTGATGCGGGCGCTTTCATGAATCGAACACAAGAGATCCAACCGACGGTTGCATATGTTCAGGGTGTGCTTGGCCAGCAGGGCGACGTGGCTCATATCGGCCGACCAGACAACGTACTTGCACTTTGCAATCTTAACCTGGGCCAGGGTGCGCAACTGCTGAACGTCGAACAGGGTCACATGCTCCGGTTCACGCAGAAGGAGCATTCCCGTTCCAGCGTAGAAGATTTCGTCGCAAACGGGTGTTTGGATCTTCTTGGTGACCTCGTTCTTGAAGTTTTTGATCACCAGTTGATTGGAGCGGTCCAGAACGGCGAAACGATTACGAGCGACCCAAACGGCGGTCATACCCGAAGAGCGTTTACTATCGGTTTCATTGTTCTGTGAATTGCTATCCTTCTGGGGGATACTATACAGATCATAGGTGCTGTTCTCCAGGTTGGAAGTTCTGGTACAAAGAAGAACCGCATTCAGAGCTGGGTTGTATGACATGCTGTAGACCGGGGTCTTTCCCCCGCCGCGGATGGTCATTACTACCGAATCGGTTGTAGTGTTGAAGTCCAGCTCTCGCAGGAATCGATCCTTCACGTAGTACAAGCAGTTTCCGTAGACTGCGTAAGCTGGACGCTCACGTTCCAGCTTGAATACGATCATGCCCGAGTCATGCCCGGCTGCAAACAGATTCAAATTCGGATGAGCAGCCAAGATCCAGAAGCGTTCATGTTCCCTTCTGAAGGTATGGATACACTGCCGCTTGGTCATATCCCAAACTCGAATACTCTTGTCCTCGCTATTGGATACAATAAGCTCAGCCCTCGGATGGAAGAGCACGCAGGACACATTGTTGTAATGGCCTCGGCAAGTATCGACTTCCCAAGCCTTGTATTCATTCATTCTCCATAGCTTAATCTGCCGATCGTCCGCTCCGGACACAATGAGTGGCAACGTCGGATGGAAATGGGCCCAATTAACCCCACGATCGTGTCCCTCCAGAACATGCTTTACAACGGCATCGGCTTGCCCAAACAGATCCGTTGCAGTCGGATTCTTCAAATGGTCATCCAATCCGGACGGGCCTGGCGCTACATTTTTCTTCCTTAATCCGGAAATGTCCCAGATTCGCACGGTCTGATCCAACGAAGCCGAAACGATGATGTCATCCGACGGATGGAACTGAGCACACATCACGTAATGATTGTGTCCGGTAAGGACACAAATACATGATCGCGACTGCCAGTTCCAAATCCGGATCGTTTGATCATCCGACGCACTCAGAATCCATGGATACTCATGGTGGAACACCGTCGTCCGGACGTAGTCCAGATGGCCTAGCAGCGAGAAGATGCACCGCCGCTGCTTGTAGTTCCACATTTTAATCTTAAAGTCGTCACCTCCAGAAACAAACAGCGGCTGCTGGCTGTGGAAGGCAATTCCACGAACCGGTCCGTCATGTTCGTCAAACTTCTCGATCAGCGTACTGATACGGTAATCCCACAGCTGGATCACACCGCTGTGCAAACTGTTCCACAAACAAATATTAGAAAAAAAAAATCACGTAATTTAATTTATCATAAACTGCTTACCTGGCCAAGATCCACGGCCGCTTCGGGTGGAACGAGAGGCCCTTCACCCGGGCGGATTTCGTTTCAAAGTTAGTTAGCATTCCTGCGGCGACGATGTCAAGCTTTTCTTATCACAATCGATTCACCACTTGCTAGTGCACACTTGTGACTTAAATTTGCTCTTAAAATTGCACAAATTCGATGGTTATTGCAGTAATTGTCGGTCATTTACCGCAGGGAAAATGGATGAAATTTTCCAATTTTTTCCTCCTTGTTGTGTGTTGACACGTAGAACGAAATCTGTCACTTCGCGTCGTCCAAAAGAAAAACAAGTAATCTAGATCAGTCGCTAGCCCACTGGGCGGTAGGTAATTTGCAGAATCCAAAAATTTCTCCTAAACGCGTTTTTGAAATTTCAAGCTGAACAATGCATTAAGGCCCAAACGCAATGTGGACGGAAGCGGAACGGAAACGGAAAGTTTGACAGTTGTCACAAATGACATCAAGATGGCTAACCGAAGTCGATTTGGTTCCAACAAGTTTTCAATCCGACAAGTTGGCTTACTCAGATCGGGCCTTTCCACTGCCGTTGCCGTTCCGCTTCCGCTGTCATTGCGCTTGGGCCTTTAGGTCCTATGTATTACGCATTTCTCACCATACTGGACAAATAAGCGCGTTTCACTTATTAAAAAGAATGATAAAAGTGCACGTTTATGTCAAATCATTTTGTTGTCTTCGGTGCACTTATTCCTTATGGAGCAAGAAATAAGTGCTCCCAAGACAACAAAACGATTTGACGTAAACGTGCACTTTTATCAAACTTTTTGCATTTTTGGAGCGGTCCAGTTTTAGTTGCAACCAACAATAACATTGTCAGATTTTCTTCGTCAAATTGGGCTGTTTAGGGGTATTGAGGTTAATACATCTAGATAGAGCTGGAATTAGGGCGTAACAGCTTTAGTAAACAATGACTTCTCTCGAGGATTTCTCGAAAGTCATGACTTTCCTTGGAAAATCGACATCACCATCGAGTAGGGGAAGACTTCCCCTACTCGATGGTTATGTTGGTTTGTGTAGGCGTGCTTTGAATGCCTAGAAATCAATGAGAGAAGTCATTGTTTACAAAGGCTGTTTCGCCCTAATTCCAGCTCTATCTAGACATATTTGTCATCTGCATTACAAATGGAACCGAAATACAAAATTTCATCACTTTTGGTACACTGGAATTATTTTAAATAAGTACGATTACCTTAGCAAAAATCATCATCTCATTTCCAGGTATTTTCAGCACATATATCGATAAAAGAAGCTATCATCTAGCATCTAATACGACAAACACAACTCTAGATAAACACATTTCAAAAGGTCCTATCTGCATTGATCGATTCTTTTCATCGACTTTCTCTTTCGTCAATAACTCAGCTGCAAAATCTTTCCCTGTTGTATTTGACGTTTTGGACGCTAGATATGAACCTCCTTTATCAAACTATGTGGTAGAATTAGCGCGAAATCTGTTTGCATAGCAGTGGCTATGAAAAGAGAAAGTCGATGAAAAGAATCGATCAAAGCAGATAGGACCATTTAAAATGTTCATCGAGAACTAGAAACGGTTATGTGCTCATGTTATTAACAAAAGAGTAAGTCGACGTAGAGAATCGATCAATGTTACTTAGGACCTAATGCAATGTTCAGCTTGACTTCCTCTACCCGACGGTTATGATGAAATTTCTGAACATAGCACAAAACTGTCATCTACCGCCGTGTTCGCGGAAATTTTTTATACTAGCCACGAACACGCGTACAAATTTTATGAGTTGGTCCGTGTCTAATCTATTCTGGAAAAAAATATTATTATCTAGATAGAACATTTCTATGGTTTTGACAGATGGGATCGCTGTACATTTGAATCGGCCGTTATGGATTCTCGATCAAGAATTAAATTATAAGTTTCATGACGGTTTGTCGGTGATCGTAGTTGGTAGTACCGACACCTGTGGCGTGCATAGTCAATTCCCTTGCGTTTAACGTTTAAACACTAGCACCATCTGTTCAGCGTACTACCTATTACAGTATACTCAACAGATGGTGAAAGTGTTTTAGCAACGATGTTTTATTTTGAAAAAATATTCAATGAGTCATCTCTGTTTGTCTGTGTTTAGTCTTCAACAACAGAGGGATTTCCGAACACTATCACTAATTCAGGGGAAACATGCCTGAAGGGTCTAACTCGAAACGTAAACAATAACTTGGATCGTCGGTTTCTTACGAATGACAATACACCCACTCAAACTAACTAAATCATCTGACAGAACACTGTTTGTTCTATGAGCTGGTGTAGTCAGATTCCGTGGGTGTGTGGTCATTCAAGAGAAATCGACGTTCAAAGTCATTGTTTACGTTTCGAGTTATACACTGATAAAATTTCAAAGATTGTTTTTATGTGTCCCACACATGAATTTTTGCAATGTGATCAACAAATGATATCTATGTGTCGGACACATACTTAATATGTGTACACATAAAAGCCATGTGTAACCACACATACCATTCATTTGACTCTTAAATTTCATGTGTGCTTCTGGGTGGATTCTGTTTATGTGTGGTCACATGAAAATCATGTGGAATTTTACATGGAAATTCGTCAATAAAAATGTGTGGAATTCTATTAGTGTACCCTTCTGACATGTTTCCCCTGAATTTATGTTCGAAGTGTAAAGATAAAGTGAAAATTCATCAAATGGAACCTTTCGTCTGTGAATCGGTAGGGATCAAAAAAATCGGTAGGACTATCGATAAATCGGTAGGTCTGGCCACCCTGCATTTGATCTGTCGAACGATCAATCAGATCTGTAAAAGGAGGTAAGACGCAAACCAAGACAATATAAATTTTACGTGTGTTCGTGTCCTTGCTCACGATCGAGTTCACGATATGACGCGATCGGATGAGTAGATGCACTACCGTCGTATTTAACGTGTTTTAAATAAAGCGTCTTGGGCAAGAATTTGAATGCAGTTTCTATGAGCTGCCACGTCGGTTCGACGGTGTTTACATGACGATGTGCCCGATAGTGTACATGCGTTAAACGTCACTAATCTCTATTGTTAACAAAAGCAGTTTCGCCCTAATGATATGTTGGCACTGATTTATATTTTTTATATAAATAACGCAACCCCACTGGGGTATGAATTGGCTTGAAACGATATAACGTTCTCAAAACTATCTGACAGCTGTCGTCACCGCCTCAAACTCGACCTGAAAGCGGAAGTCGAGTCGCTGTCAAACGCAACTGTCTTTCGTTCTTTTTCCGGCATCTTTACTAGTGTCGAGCACACACCGAATTTTGCTGCGAGCTAAACAATGTCGAAGAGAGGTAAATTTCGGTCGTTTTTCGTGAATTTGTGCGACGGATGAACGAACCAACCGTACCGGATTGGTGCGCAATGTGAAATTTGCGAGAATTGTCGTGAAATTAGTGCGCGAGAGATGGATGTTTGAGTGTCGAATGTGTTGACCCTGTGTGATGGCACTGCCTTGGAGAAACTAATGCAATTTTTTTTTACTGTCGATTTTCCCACCATACAGGACGAGGAGGATCCGCGGGAGGAAAATTCCGCATCTCGCTTGGTCTGCCCGTTGGCGCCGTCATCAACTGCGCTGATAACACAGGTAAGTGATAGAAAACCTTCCGTACCTTAACTGCATCCGTGGATGCATTGTTTTGGTTGCTTAACCTCAACCAAGTGAAGTGTCCAGAAAACGCTCCTCATTGGTAAACATCACCTTCAAAGTTGTAACATATTTCCTTGTTTCCTCACGTTCTTTCAGGTGCCAAGAACCTGTATGTGATCGCCGTCCATGGAATCCGTGGTCGCCTGAACCGGCTGCCCGCTGCCGGTGTTGGTGACATGTTTGTCGCCACCGTCAAGAAGGGTAAACCGGAACTGCGTAAAAAAGTTATGCCAGCGGTGGTCATTCGGCAGCGAAAACCCTTCCGCAGGCGAGATGGTGTTTTCCTCTACTTTGAGGACAATGCGGGCGTCATAGTGAACAACAAGGGCGAAATGAAGGGCTCCGCTATTACCGGTCCTGTGGCGAAGGAATGTGCCGACCTGTGGCCCCGTATTGCGTCCAACGCTGGTTCGATAGCATAGAGACAGAAGATGTAAGGCGCAAGATTGGGTTGGAAATGTTTTTCTTGATGATTCCATTACTACTTATAACAAGCAGGAAGGAAATGGAGCGGAATAAAACATGATGGAAACGAGAGAGAAAAGGATATGTTTAAAAGCTGATGTGTTCAAGTGTAAAATTGATCGATGACAGAATCCTGAAAGTGTTTCGGTTGGTCCGGAGTTGCAGGTGTGCATCATTTTCGTATGATTGGGGAAGCAAGTCTCCATATATCAGTGACTGGTTTGCAGTGCTTTGGTCCTAACCCTAACATTTTGTAACACATGCAAGGATAAGAAATCTAGTGCAACTGGATTGATTTTGTTTTGATAGTCGATAAAAAGGATCATAAGTAATAAGTGGGATACGATAAACCAATATGCATGATCATCGTATAACTTTCAGCGGATGGGAACTCATATTTTGCAGTGCTCAACGAGGACAAGAAGTCGATGGCCACGGATAGTTTTGTATGCTGCGAAATTCTACACTAATCGTCCACTCGGCCAGTTCCACTCTGTGCGAACTCATAAGTTCATGTCTACAAATCCCGATTCGAGTAGGGTAAATGACGGCTTCGGCAATACCTTAACCGCCTTAACCTATTATTGCCAGGGAGTAAACAACGTCCTTGAGAGCTCAATTTTGGCATGTAGATACATTGTGTTTCAGAGCATCTATTGACCAAATTTGAGTGCTCTAGGACTTTCCCCCTGACGATAAAAGGTTAAGGTATTGCGAAAGCCGACATTTCCTCTATCATTACTAAAACAAACTCAACAAACAAGCAGAGTTTATTTTGATACCAGGTTCGGGTTGAACCTAAATCAAAAACAAATTCTGTTCACGTCTAAAGTGACTATTAATTCTAGAATTCGCCGCTTTAGAGTTTTATTTTGAATTGTGAATTTCATTGTCATTAGAGGTTGAAAAATCATCAGGCCTCAGCAAATAAGTTTCGGCCAAAAATTGGATGATTCAGAAGCCTCCTAGAAGAAATCTAGAGAAGGATTTGAGAAATTTTCATGGAGGATGTTTTCAGAGGGTCGTCACTCAAACCCGGTTAGATACTATACTTGAAATGTTTACCATTTACAAGTATTGAAGCATGAACAAAAAATCATTAGACAAATGGTTTTTCCTCCAAGGGGAAAATTTTCGTGGAGAACATTAATTTTTTTTCAGATTTAGATTTCACTACACTAAGTTCTTTTTACGATGTCTGAGACCGATAGTGAAAAAGATCTCCAATAGCAAGAAGAACAATGCTTTCAGGAATAATTTGTTTTTTTTTTGAGAATTTCAGTCTTGGGCTGGTTTGCATCTATTCCGGAAATAGTTTTGCAAACTAATACCTCTATCAGATTAAGCCCATTTTCACTTTCGAGCTGTTTTCAACTCGATCCATTCTTTTAATCAATAGCTTTACTATTTCCGCTTTGTATCACCCGCTCACTTTTTTTAAATACAGATTTGTTACCTTATTCGTTACGACAAACATAAATGTCTTATGTATCATAATACATTTTCGGATGGATTTTTCATATATGTCACCTCACATCATTGGCTGTATAAAATCACAGGTGATAGTTAGCTACATTCTTTCTTCAGCAAAGTTGTTCTTTAACTATACTGGATGAATATGAAAGGACAAGTTAATAGCCAGAATTGATGGCCCCAGATCTTCGCAACCATATGAAGATTCAATATGTTTGAGAACATGGACTTGAACTTGAAGGACGATACCATTTGCGACGGTACAGCCTGTCATCTTCAATAAACCAAATTCATATACTAAGTTTCGAGCCGGCGTTATGTCCCAGTGGGTACTTGCAAATAAAATATGTGATCATCACATCATTTGATTTCATTATTCCGTCATAGAATATTTAAGTTTGCGAGGCTTTGTCAGGGGCAGAGGTCTTATCTATCATGTGATATTATTTTCACCCTTTACTAAAAAATGGCATATTAGCCCATATTCTCATTTGTGGGCAGACATAGAGATTTGGCCATGATGTATATTTTCATATTTGAAGCTCAATAACACAGCTTACACAAAATTCTTCTTCATGAGGGCCTCCTTCAGCGCCTTCACCCCGTCGATCCGCATTAGCGGTTCATCGGGATGATGCTTCTTCATGTGCATCACGTAGATTCGCCGGTGTACGAAAGCCTCAGAACATACATGGCACTTGTACGGTGTCTCACCGGAGTGCGTCCTTAGATGGATACTTAGCACGTACTTCCTATAGAAAGCCTTACCGCACTGGGGACACACAAAGTCCCTCCGTTGGTTGTGGATATCCATGTGGCTGGCGAGAGCTCTTCTGAAATTTGATTGAAAATAAACGGAGTAAGTGTTTAAGAGGATCGTGATGTAATGCCGCGAGTTCTTACTTTGTGAGAGTTTTAACCCCACACAGTGCACACTGGAACTTCTTCTCCTCGTGAACCGCTCTCAGATGTTGTGTGTGGGCGATTTTACTACTGGAAACCCTACCACATATGTCGCAGGTCATCTCATTACCTTTGGCATGACTCCGGTTGATGTGTTTACGCAAATTCATGCGGCAGTGGAACTGCAGTCCGCACTCGTCGCAGGTATACGGCTGTAGGCCGTTATGCCGGTTCATATGACTGTCCATTCGCTTCGGGTCAATTGATTTGCCACATATGTCGCACATCTTTTTACATCGATCCAGGTACTGTCGGATGTAGTACTTTTTGTATTCGTCCTTCGTCATGGTTTGCTCCTCCTCGGTTCGTCTGTACTTACGCCGGAAGGGGCGTTCTATTTTCACGGGTTTCTCCTCCAGTGGTCCTGGTTGTGCGTTATCATCATAATCATCCTGTCCTTGGTGGTGGTCATCCAAGAGAAATGGAGCCAAATCTGACAAAGTTTCTGGTGGCAATGTGACGCATTTCTTTTTAACGGGTTTGACTTTTGGTGGCTTTGGTTTAGGGTGATCCTTTTTCGCGTATTCATTCTTTAGAGATTTTGCATCGATAGATGTTTGAGCCAGCTCTTCCAAAGTTTCCGGTGGCAATGTGACTTCGTTTGTACAGTTCTCCAAAAGTGTTTCCAATGGAAGGGGAACTTCATAATCATCGCTTGATAGCACGCCTGCTTTCTCACCGTGGAGTATTTGACGGCTGCGCCTCTTGAAAGAGTAGAAGACTTCTACTTGGTTTTGGCACGAACTGCAAACGTGGTACTTTTCGGCACCAGGGGATATTTTAATCTGAAACAAAAGAACCCGATACAATGGTCACTTACTGCATTCTGCAAATGTAGCGCCAGTGGATTGCGCAGTATAATTATATACAATAAATTTGGATACTTACCCAGAGGCAGATGATGTCTTGCAATTTTTCACGAAAATCACGATCCCACAAGAGCTTGTTTGGTTCACACAACTCCCTACATAACCGGCATCGACTACGTCTGCTTCTGGTCGTACTCTCAGCCTTATTTTTGTCCATGTTTTAAGGTATCACGAAAATAATAAATACATCGATCAACAGATAACTTTGAGATTTGCGATTGTCAGTGAGAAAACCGCACAATAACAGCAACGGTGCGACAATATAGTAAGGTATTTGAAAAAAAAATGCCCCCACTCCCTAATAGAAAACTATCATAAAAAGCGCTAAACGGCGTGTTCGGGATATAATCTAGATTATTTGTGGAATAACTTTACCATTTGTGGTATCATTCGTTTATGGTTTCCGTTTATTACGGCAATTTTCCAATTAGTTTATTTGTTAGGCGCAAATGTCCAAAAAGACTCCACAGAAACATTAATTAATTAATTACAATAAATAGCAATGAGGGAAATTGTTTATGAGTTCTTCTTACTCTTCCTTGGAGGTGACTTGAGTTTAGCTTTCGCTTTCATCCGTGCCTTCAACTGCCTTGCTTCTTCCAATTGTTTTTCCTTTAGCAGCGCCCGCCGCTTCGATTGTTCATGATATAGATATCCCAAATTTGTAGTAGTAATACGCATCATTTTTGCGCTTGAAAACAGGCGGCTGCTGTTTCTCACCATCACCACTACCTCTTCTTCCAGGACCTCAACCGCTTCCTCGTTTGGCGATGCACCTCCAGTCACTACACCAACGTACGTTATTGTATTGGCTGCTTCCGATCCTTCCATTTGGGGCAAGAGTTTATCCGATGCCCCTCCGTCTTACGAAGGAAACATACATTTGTGTTCCCCTTTCGATTTAGGAAATACAGCGAGTTGAGGATCGCCTTTTTTACATCCATTTATTTACCCCGCACACCGGTAAGCATATCGAGGCCTAAGGTGAAAATTTCTCCCGAACTACGCGCTTCACATCGCCGTATTTCCCTATATCGGTAATCTGTGAATTTGTGTCAGTACTAGTGTAATAAGTACGGGGAACATAAGTATTACAGGAGGGGAAGATGCTGCAAAAAGCTATTCTGGAATCGGTATTGTGACAAGACGATAATAAGACGTTTGGGGAAAATGTCAATTTGCAAAAACTATATTTAACAAAAAGCGGCAAGCAAAATTATAATAAATTCAAATTGCACATTGCGCACATTAGAAAAGGAATGCGGAAACGCTTATAAAAGTGCTCTTTTACGAGGAATAATGTTGATGTCTTCGGCAAACTTATTCCTTGGTTTATAAGGAAAAAAGAAATGCGCAGAAGACACCAAGTACATCGTAATAGCGAACTTTTATTGACGATTCCGGTCCAGTTTTAAATGTAAAATACTATACATTGTAAAAAAAAGTGAATACGGCTTTTGTTTACAATGTATTCACCCATATTCTTGTTTTCGTTCTAACCGTATTTTCAAAAAACTTTTTTTTTGTGTGGAAAATACGGCTCGAACGAAAACGAGAATATGGGGTATTATCTCTAGGATTTCTAGGAAGTCAAGGCACGCCCACGTAAATCAACAGCACCATCGGGTAGGGGAAGCCTTGAATGCCAGAAATCATTAAGAGAAGTCATTGTTTACAAAAGTTGTTACGCCCTAATTCCAGCTCTATCTAGACATATTGGAATCCCATCCCTGATGTGAAATAATCGCGCCCCTAGTTTCCACAAAAAAATACATAATTGTTGCTTGGCATTTTGCTTCTACCTTTCTATAATAGATTTTGGACAACCAACACATGTGCCCCGTCTCTAAAAGTACGTTTCAAAACTAATTCACAATACGTCTCCGAACGACCACCTCTGTAGTATGATTGTGCTGGAAGATCGGCGTAACTAAGCGAAAGTCACCCGTAATCCTAACGTACGCCTTGCATCCCTTTGGTTGATCATCACAAGTCCAAATCATTTGGCCGTTGGAAAGCTTCTGCGAAAAGTTAAACCGGAAGGAATCATTGTAGATAAACTTCTTTTTGTGATTGTTATTCGTCATCAGGAAAGGAACTCGCTTCCGCATCTTTCGATCTAGTATCATGCCATCATTGACCACCTGTTGTTGGTGTTGCTGGTGTTTGGCGTTCAGCTTCAGCTTGCCGTCAGGCTTCTGTTGCAGAGTTGCTGAACAGGATATTTTGCAGCATTCCCATTGTATGCTTCCGCCGTGGCATGTCCGAGGCTTTCGATACTCATACCCATCAAAATACAAGACGGCCTTCTTGCGAAGCAATCTCGGCGATATTGGTTCATCTTTAATTTGCTTCCTGTATTTGCCCCTTGGAGTCGGACAATTGCCTTTTTCGGTGATAGTCGACCGCTGAAAATCAACACTGGGTTTTATGTCCAACTTTTTGAGAGGTACATGGCACTCCTGAATATCATCCACGGAAACCGGAGGTTCGCTTATCGTTTCATATCCTACAGTGACAGAGTTCTCGATGAATTCATTCTGCAATAAATGCTGCAATGCATACTCATCAAACTCAAAAGCTCGCATTTCAAACACTTACCGGAAATCCACGAAATGACTCGTTAGAGCTTGTACCGGAAATCTGAGCGACAACGTCCACTTTTGATGGAATATTCACCATCGACTCCGGCTCTGTCGCCTGGTTGGGGTTAAAAATACTCTTTGCTTGGCGCAGCATATCCTCTTCCTGGAGTTCCTCCACTTTACACTGGCTCTCATTAGCGTCATCCGGTTGATCGCGGTTCATTTGTGACATTCTTTCCAACTCCACTCCATTCATCTGTCGGGAACGCTTCTCTCGCAGATATCCATCGTTCGATTGACATTGCTTTTTAAAATTGTAAATTGAATTGATCTTATCGCGGCACACCGAACAAATTACCGAGCAAAAATCCTCTAGGAAGGATACCTAAAACCAAAAATAGGACACATTAATGCAAAGAATGTTCCTATATTTGAATTGGTGGAAATGAAAACTCACGTGTATGGCCAAACAATCGTAGATTCGACTAAGCAGATCATTGACGAAGCAACCCTCTCCGGGAGGGAATAACGGTTGTAGATTGATGTCGGATGATGTAAAACACAGCCGGCACCGGAAGTCGTCCAACATGCACGTGGTTGTGCTGGGCGATTGCATGGTCGCAGTTTTTCTAATCGATATTTTCGAGAAGTAATCTAGCTAGTGAATATGGAGTATTGGAGAAGAAATTGCTTTACAAATCCGTACGAAAATAATGTTGTCTAGCGAACAAACCTGGTATTTTAGTAGTCGATCGAGCAACAGATAGCAACTGATTAGATTCGCAATGTAAATGTTGCAGTTTGCAGTGGAGTCCAGAGACGTTGAATAGAGCAGCTCACGGTCCGTAACCTCACTTTTTGGTTCTAATCATTAAAATTTTTGTCTCTGAGTAAAAAAGATGGCAACGAATGGGAGCCAAAACAAACCACTAAAAACTGTCAAAATTTACGGGTGAGAGAAGAGTGCAGCAAATCTTCGAAACACGCAAGCAAGAAGAACGAAACGAACCGTCAAACGCTGAACCAAAAGAGCAAAGTAAATAAACATTACAAGCTGAACATTGCATTAGGTCCTAAAAAACATTGATCGATTCTCCTCGTCGACTTTCTCTTTCGTTAATAACTTGAGCACATAACTGTTTCTTGTTTTGTTTGTCATATTTATTAGAAGCTAGATTGAAACTTCTTTTATCGATCGGTGTGCCGAAAATACCTGAGAATATATTTACATGGCCGTGGGAATACAAAGAGAAAGTCGACGAAGAGAATCTGTCAATGTTACTTAGGGCTTACTGCGATGTACAGCTTGATTACTGTTCGCTCACACTCAAAAAATTTATCACTTATCTAATGGATGAAATCCATGTGATTTTCACATAGCTTTCCTATGATCACATAGCAGCAACCCTAATAAAAATTGTATGGTTAATTTGCTTAACGACGTGTTCTGGGTATCATCCAAACCATTTGTGGAATAGTTCAATGATTTGGGTTATCGTTCGTTTATGGTTATTTTTTATTAGGGAAATCACACAACAAAATCACATGAATATTATGAGGTCCATGAAATTCATATGAAAAATCATATAAAATTAATGTGATCGCATAAATGTTATGTGGAATTCAGATGAATTCCATTAATTTTAATTATGAATGAAAATCATGTGCGTTTCCAATGGAAGCTACATGAAAACTGTTTTCGGTGCAGTGCAACCGTACCAGTCCTCGGCGCCTAATACATAGGTGCCACAGTCGGAAGAAGTGTTAGTTTGTTTACTAAAATGAACCATGCCCATTTTGTTATGGCATGTTTGCTATAAGAAATGCGCCTCGTGTTTATTAGCGAATTTCACATCAAAGATTGATTAATTGAGTAGGAAATCAGTTTGGCATGGCATTTGTGACCAGCATACACCTTCACTCATAAAATTCGACACATTTTTATTGGCGAATTTCCATGTGAAATTCCACATGATTTTCATGTGACCACACATAAACAGAATCCACCCAGAAGCACACATGAAAATTATGAGTCAAATGAATAGTATGTGTGGTTACACATGGCTTATATGTGTATACATATTAAGTATGTGTCCGACACATAGATATGATTTGTTGATCACATTGCAAAAATTCATGTGTGGGACACATAAAAATAATCTTTGAAATTTTATCAGTGTTCCGGTAGTATGAAACAGGTTAAAAACTGTTCAAATCCGCAGATAAAATTTTTTGTTTTGAATTTCTGTATAGCAAAATAGTGAACTTTTCGTGAACATTAACGGCAAAGAACTCACCAACACTGGGAGACCGTGAGTTCCTGCCCACCTGTCATAAAACCGTCTTGATACCGGTCCACGATGGAAAATGACAGGTGGGCAGGAACTCACAGTCTCCCAGTGTTGGTGAGTTCTTTGCCATTAATGTTCACGAAAAGTTCACTATTTTGCTATACAGAAATTCAAAACAAAAATTTTATCTGCGGATTTGAACAGTTTTTGACCTGTTTCATACTACCGGAAGGTGTATGCTGGTCACAAATGCCGTGCCAAACTGATTTCCTACTCAATTAATCAATCTTTGATGTGAAATTCGCTAATAAACACGAGGCGCATTTCTTATAGCAAACATGCCATAACAAAATGGGCATGGTTCATTTAAGTAAACAAACTAACACTTCTTCCGACTGTTACACCTATGTATTAGCCGTCTCGATACCGGTCGACGGTTCCCGCATAAACACAAACCATAAATTGACCTTACCTATGAATGAACAACGTCAATCGGATTCATGTCTTCTCTATGAAGAAACAACGAGAGACACACAATGAAAATAAGTTAAAATGCAATCAAAAGTACTTAAAGTAATTCAGACTGCAACGTTCGGTTTCGCTTCGTTCGGGTGTGCAATAAAGGAGCTCCAGCGTTTCGCACCGTAGCAAGTGAAATACAGTGAAATTTTTCATTTAGAGGTGTAGAGCTGCTTCGCGGACCGGCAAGGAGCCGCCATAGCACGGAGATTCATCAGTTTTTCCCCTGGTGAGTGGAAAAATCACAAAGTTTAGTGAGCATTGTAGCGCACAGTAAACAGCATCCATTGCTGTCAACAGGGTCACGTTTAGAGCCGTGAATCTTGTATGCAAGTCGTAGCCCGTCGGTCACTCTTGTAAGCAAGTTCTCTGCCGTTTGAATCTACGGTTGGTATTCTCATATCGCCGTTGAGTCTTCGTATTCCACTGCTAATTTAATTAGCAAACGGTTTATCCAAACCGAATCAAATCATTTTGCACTTTGAATTTGGTAATATCACACGGTACTGGTGTCTTCTGGAAAAATTCCGCCCCACCAGCGGCGATGCTGGGCGCGGGCTTTCCCCCACTCCCCGGTGATCCCGGGGGAGGGCCATCAAATAGGATAGACGGTACTTATGCTGGAGCAACCCTGCCCAGCTACATGGACCCAAACGGGGATCACGGCAAGCTTATCATTCTGAAGTTGGAACCTGCGGTAGGAAAGAAACTTCCTGATCACCCTTTCACACTACGAACATCTATTGAAAGGCGCGTTGGTGGCAAGATTGAGGGAGCATTCTCCGAGGCACAAGGGCAAGCGTACGCCCTAAAAGTGAGGAGCCAGCACCAAATGGAGCGGCTTCTTTCTATGACGGAACTCACGGACGGAACGGCGATCAAGATTTCTAAACACCCAGGATTAAACTCTACGCGGTGTGTCATCAGTTGCAGAGAACTAGCGAAGATCGAAGATGACGATATACTCGAGAACCTGGAATCCCAGAATGTCAGCGGTATTCGTCGAATCACCAGAAGAGTAGGGGATGGAAAGGAAAACACGGCCACAGTTATCCTGACAATAAACGGCACGACGATGCCTGAACATATCGACATTGGCTACCGACGATACAGAACCCGTCCCTACTACCCCGCACCTATGCTGTGCTACCAGTGTTACAAATTCGGACACACGCGAACTCGCTGTCAACAGCAGAACACCACCTGCGGAAACTGCGGTCAGCAGCATGAAGTCGCCAAGGACGTACCCTGCTCCAACCAGACATTCTGCTCAAGATGTCAAACAAAGGACCACGCCATCGGAAGTCGGAAGTGCCCAGTCTACCAAACCGAAGACGCTATCCAGCACATACGGGTTAATCAAGGTATCCAGTACCCAGCAGCTCGGAGGATCTACGAAGCGATGCAAGGGGAAAAAACATACGCTGGTACCACAGTACATAGCAAAGATCAGACCATCCACGAACTGTCCACGAAATTTGAAATCATGGTAAAGAAAATGGAGGAGAAGGATGCTAAGATCCAGGCACTGGAAAACCAGATCGCAGTAGGTCCCACGACAACAACTAACTCCGACCTAAACCACCTCCGTAATCTTGTGGAGAACCTCCAGAAGGAACTTAAAAACAAGGATGAAAGAATCCAAGCCTTGGAAAGTTCATCGAACAAGGATTCCAGGATGGATCTCGTACGGAAACATGGCACCATCGAGGACCTTATCGCCCGAGTATCAGCCCTCGAAGCGAAAGTATCCAAGAAAGATAAGGAAATCGACGTTCTGAAATCCGTTAACCAGGCATACAAACAAGCACTCGATGGGAAACCCACCCTTAAATCTCAACGCAAGGAAGCAAATCCCATGCAACCCGTCCTCACGGATAGCTGTACCCCCAACCACAAGGCATCTAGAATAGCAACTGCTATCAATACCGATCCTGCCCAAGAAACAAGCATGACCATCGAAAAACAAAATAACGCCCATCCCGAGCACACAGGTGCCAAGAAGAAATCACGGAAAACCGTTACCAAACAAAATAGCGGGGAGATGGTACCCAAAAGAACGAAAGCCGACGAGCTGACACACCAAACCCAAGCTGAAAATCTACATAAGAACGATAAAGACGAGATGGATAACATTATGTATATTTCCGATTCCGACGAGGTAAAAGTTCAAGAGCAAGCCCCGCTTGACTTCCAATCCGTCATTTCGGATCTTGACTTTTCATCGGACGAGAATATGCAAAACGATCAGGACGTGTCCATGTCCCGATAGTCCTGCACTCTGCAACACCGCAACCCACTCTCAACGCACTCATGGCTACATCACCAAACCATAAGAGTAGCAGAGAGAACACGGACCACCCAAACCAGGACACCAATAAACATGACCTAGGACAGACATACCTACAAGAACAATCTAGCAACTCGGATAAGGCCTCGGGCAGCCGGGGCCCCACCAGTGTGGAATTTTTCGACCAACCGGGACTGGTGGACTCCCCCCGGTGCTTGTTGGCAACCTCCGTTGACCACACTTTGAACACAACTCAACCCACCTACCCAGTGGAGCAGTGGAGTAGTCGAGGCTCCACCGGTGCGGACGTTTTTGCCTCACCGGGACTGGTGGACAACCCTCTTCTCTCCGCTGCGGCTGGAAGAGGGACGGACAAGGGAGTATGCTCCCATTCCCCTGTGGACGACGAGGGCTTCAAGATTTCAGCTAAGTACCAGGACCACGTGAGACTCAAGGCTGGCGAGCTGAGCATCAACGCTGAGTCAACTCTGACTGCTTCTGCAGGTGGGACATTGCCGGGGTCCACCATTTCTACACTCGGGTCGCGTGATAACCTCACTCTCTCCCGGAAGGACTTCGAGGGATGCAAGATCAGCGAACGAAACAATATTGGGTCGAGCGATAACTTCGCTTTCCCCCACCTGGACATCGCGGGAGGCAAGGTACCGCAGCAGAAGGGGTCGCACGATAATTTCATACTCCCCCCGACGGATCACAGGACACCGGCACCGGATAAGGCCTCGGGCAGTCGGGGCCCCACCAGTGCGGAAGATACATGCCATCCGGAACTGGTGGTTTCCCCCCGGCGTTCGTTGGCAAACTCCATAGGCCATTGCCGCACAACCACGTATCCTACGAAAAGATCCACTCAGTTGACAAGCAACAATCCCATCCCTCAGGATGTCCGCTCGGACTCACGAAGATACGACCAGTGGAGGGCTAGTATGAGTGACTTCTCCGTAGCATCTGCAGGCCCTTCACACGCCCCGTCCCATTACCCAGTGGCTTCGCTATCTCTGCCGACAGCGGGGTCACCATAAACTGCTTCTGCCGGTGGAGCCCTACTGGGGTCCGCTTCCAAGCTGAAAGCACCGACACCAATATCAGCCAGATCACGAAGCAAGAAGGCTATCCCATTGCATGCGAGTTCCTCTTCGATACCTTCTTCCGGTATGCGGGTTGATTTCAGTCCCTGTCCAACACAATCGTCGACTGCCCAGAGCCAATCGCCTCCGGCCAACATTTCGCCAAGAGATGATTACTCCTCGGATTATTCATCACCAATCACGCGACACCCAACTTTCGGAAGTCCCAGAGGGTCCACTTTGGCAATCCAATGGAACATGAATGGCTTCTATAATAACCTTTCGGACCTAGAAATTCTTGTGCGAGACAGCAGGCCCACCATCCTGGCAATCCAGGAGATCCACCGGGCTAGTGTCGGTAAGATGAACCGTACTCTGGGGGGTCAATATCAATGGATCCTTAGAAGGAACGAAAACATTTTCCACTCTGCGGCAATCGGGGTGCTAGCCTCGATACCTTTCACATCAATTCAGTTAGACACAGATCTTCCAATCGTGGCGATCAGGATAGAGCATCCATTCCCGATGTCCGTTGTCTCGGTGTATCTTCCGTGTGGAAAAATACCAGATCTTAGAAACCAACTATCAAATATACTCCAGAGCGTCGAGGGTCCCATCCTGGTACTAGGGGACATGAACGGCCACCATCCCGCTTGGGGCAGCCCAATTGCAAATACCAGAGGCTCCACTCTGATGGAAGTGGCCAGAAAACTGGATCTTGTCGTTCTCAATGATGGAGGCACCACATATACCAGTGGTCAGAGAGCAACATCTATAGATGTGTCCCTTGCTAGCGCCAACATAATCAGCAGACTCCTCTGGAGCACCGAGGAAGATCCCATGGGTAGTGATCATCACCCGGTGGTAATTCGACTTGACGACCAGCCACAAGACATCTCACGTAGACCACGTTGGAGGTATGAGTTGGCTGACTGGTCACTTTTCCAGGAGACTATTAGAGCTAATTTTACCAACTCGACACCGGACAATATCCAGGATTTCATCAGCTCTGTCTACCAAGTGGCAACCACATCAATCCCGCGGACAAGTCCCAACCCGGGAACCAGGTCGTTACCATGGTGGTCTCCTGAGACAAAAGCTGCTGTTAAGGCCAGAAGGAAGGCTTTAAGGGCAGCTAAACGACTGCCCGCGGACCACCCCTTGAAGGAAGCGGCACAAACTGCATACAGAACTAAACGGAACGAGTGTAGACAGACCATACGTACCGCCAAAAGCTTGAGCTGGGAGACTTTCCTCGACGGTATTAACGCTGGACAGACGGCCTCTGACCTATGGGGTAAAGTCAACGCGTTGAGCGGTAAGCGAAAGTATCGTGGCATGGCTATTCGAATAGACGGCTTAATAACCAGAGACCCCGACAAAATTGCACATGCTATGGGGGAGTACTTTGCAACTCTTTCGGCTCTTGAAGGATATGATGACCATTTCCGTCGCACAAAAAATGCGACAACGCATTCGCTGGATAATTTCCACATCCCGGAGGACGATCTACCACTGGAAATTAACCAACCTTTCGGACCAAGAGAGCTTGATTTAGCCTTGTCCAAGGCTCACGGCAAATCAGCAGGCCCGGATGAAGTAGGATACCCTCTATTAAAAAATCTGCCACTGGAAAGCAAACGTACCCTTCTCAGCCTCCTCAACAGCGAGTGGCTAGGAAATACTATTCCTGAAGAATGGAGGCACAGCCTTGTTGTCCCAATTCCTAAGCAGGGAGCTGCGAGTCGCGAGCCAAAGGACTTCAGACCAATCTCTTTGACATGCTGTGTCAGTAAGGTGCTGGAGCGGATGGTCAATCGTAGACTCGTGCTCTACTTGGAGAGTAACGGCTACATTGACCATCGCCAGCACGCCTTCCGTCCCGGACATGGCACTGGGACCTATTTCGCCACACTTAATCAGGTACTTCGGGACGCGAGGGATGCCGACCAGCACGTGGAGCTAGCAACTTTAGACATCGCCAAGGCATACAATCGGACATGGACGCCTGACATCCTTGTCCAACTTGCGGAATGGGGTCTCTCCGGCCACATTATCCATTTTCTAAAAAATTTTCTCCAACATCGTACTTTTCAAGTATGTATGGGCAACCATAGATCCAGATGTTTCCCGGAGGAGACTGGCGTCCCACAAGGCTCTGTGATTGCAGTCACGCTGTTTTTAATACGGATGAACGGAGTTTTCAACAATCTTCCCAAGGAAATATACATCTTTGTGTATGCAGACGACATCGTCTTGGTAGTAGTTGGCAGCACCGTGAAGGCTATACGCAGAAAACTAAAAGCAGCCACGAACGCTGTCTTACGGTGGACTAAATCCGTTGGATTCCACCTTTCGGTAGAAAAATGCGCTTATACTCACATCTGTCCGATGAACCACCATGTACTCCGCTCACCAATCAGTATTGATGAAAGAATCATGCCCTTCAAGAGGTCTATCCGCATCCTCGGCCTACGACTCGATAGGCATCTAAACTTTGTCGACCACTTTAATGAGGTGAAAAAGAACTGCCAAACGAGGATTGATTTACTCCGAACACTGGCCAAAAGACACTTAATGAACAACCGTGATATTCGTATGCGTGTAGCGAAAGCGGTAGTTGATTCCAGACTAACCTACGGTTTAGAACTGACTTGCCTGGCTGCTGATAGGTTGATTTACAAACTGGCTCCAGTGTATTATCAGGCCATTAGGATCACATCAGGTCTCCTCCCATCCACCCCCAGGTTGGCAGCCTGCGTGGAGAGTGGAAGGCTGCCTTTTGAAAAGTACATTGTCGCATCTGTTTGCAAGAAAGCGATTGGCTTTGCAGAAAAGACTACAGGGACAAGTGACGGAGTGTCCCTCCTCATGGAGGCGAACGATCTCCTGAATAATACCGCCAACCTGGAGCTCCCCCCTGTAGCCAGGGTCCACTGGTGTGGAGCCAGAGGTTGGAACTCACCCGGTCTGTCCATCGATCCGGCGATAAAGAACAGTTTCCGGGCGGGAACCAACTCCCCTGCGCTAGTGAGAACAGTAGCCGAATTACATCGAACCAAATACAACAGTCATCAAGTACGATACACCGACGGATCCCGAAGTGGCGGTAGAGTTGGTATTGGAATTTCCGATCCGGAGCTGTGCACCTTTCACCGACTACCAGACCCATGCAGCGTTTTCACTGCTGAAGCAGCCGCCATTCTCGTAGCTGTCACCCTACCCTCAATCAAACCGATCGTCATATTCTCCGACTCTGCAAGTGTTTTAGCAGCTCTCCAGTCTGAAACAGCTAAACACCCCTGGATCCAGGGTATCCAGCAGCTCGCACCTAAGGAAACAACCTTTGTCTGGGTCCCCGGACACTGTGGGATCAGAGGTAATGAGGAAGCCGACCACCTGGCGGCATCCGGAAGACAGTCCAACTTCTACACCAGAAAGGTTCCGGCCCAGGACATAAAGCGGTGGATCACAATCACTATATGGAACTGCTGGACTAACGAATGGATGAGATCTCGAGACTTATTTATCCGGAAGGTAAAAGGGGATACCAGGAAATGGGAGGATCCACCTGAACACCGACTTCAAGTCATTCTATCTCGGTTGAGAACCGGACATACCAAAGTCTCCCACAACATGGGAGGCGGAGGCGGATTCAGACGGCAGTGCGAGACATGCAATGTTCCACTTACAGTGGAGCATTTCTTATGCGAATGCCCCCAGTACCAACGACCCCGTTCCCTTTACGGGATCTCAGGTAGCATCAGGGATACCCTGAGGGATGACCCATCCAGCATCGCTGCACTATTCTGCTTCCTTCAGGAAGCAGGTCTGATTAACCAAATTTAAACACCCAAGCAACGACAACGGACAATGATTCGGACCCAAACTATACCTCGGCAACAAATACTGACTCGGACACGGATGAACGAAGATATTGAACCAAGCAAAGCACGTACAAGGACACGGAAATGGACGAATGACGGCACTAAAATCAAACACAGCGACTACAAAGGAACAGGACACGGAACTTGACCACTTGACCACGATAATCCAAAAGGACAGTAACATCTGTAGCATTAAAGGAAAATTTCCAACTCTGAAATATTAAAACTCTGTTATTATGGAGACTCCCTTCTGGAGCTCCCACCCATCTCCTAACTCCGTATCCTCGGGGTTCTCCTCTGGAACCTCACATCCCCTTCCTATTAGCTCTGTAATTAGGGGGACTCCCGTCTGAAGTCCCCACCCCTCGTCTTTAAGAGATGAACCAGCCCAAGGCTGAAAATCTCTCTAATAAAGCAAAAAAAAAAAAAAAAAACTTAAAGTAATTAATGCGTTTTGAAGTAGTACCAAAGAAGAATACTAAGATGAAACAGTCGGAAGAAAAACTTTCTATTTTAGTGTCCTCTTTCACGGTCCCTTTCATCCAATGAATATCCCCCGTATTCAAGGTAATTTTGTGGTTTTGCTGCCCCCTCGGTAGAGATGAAATTTTGCGCTGTTTTGACGTAGAACTACGTCTTTGTCGACTATACAGGGGTACAATCAAAAATATGTGTAGTGAAATAGTGTTAGGTTTTGAACGCTTGTAACTTTGTCATTTATAGATGAAATTAAAATCCAAGTACGCCAACCGATAGGATATTACCATAGAGGTAACTCTAAGACCACTGGGTCCCGAAGAAAATCATTATTATTTTTGGCTCACTCAGTACCAGAACAACGGTCCCAAGCAGTCCCAAGCTATTTCACTCACCCCTGCATGTTCTGCATGAATCCACACACCCCTGATATTATCTGTCAAACTTTCATAGCGAATCAAAACAAACATAGTGTAGTAATAGAATTTCAACTAGAATAGGGTACGTTAATCGTTTGCTTGGGACCAATAGGCTACTAAAGTGGTGAGCCAATTTAAAATCGTTAGTTTCGTATTGATTGTTGATATTACTTAACGAATCTGCTGAAATAAATACTTTCCAATTTTTAATCAAAACACTTTTGAAAAATGCGCGGATGAAATTTTATCACTGTTTTCATGAACTAAACGTTTTCCCCAAACCCAGTCATCATAAACGAATACCACTTGGTTGCACTGTTGCACATCATTCTGCTTGAACCTGAAAAGATATAAAACAGCGCTGCTTTCCTGCCTCTGCTCATTACCGCTTCGGACGGCGTGGCACTAGGTCCTACAGCAAGCAGGACCAAGACTGCGGCTAAAGGTGGATCACGGCGTAACCATGACCACCACAATGAGGAATGAGACTTGGAAAATTATGTATGTTAAGCCCCCTCCCCCCCCCCCCCCCCTTAACAACAACCCGAAAAAGACATGGACTTTGACGATCACTTTTTTCCAGGAAATAAATTTTAAGCAAACCACAATTAGGGGCTGTTATTAACTACGTACACAGTTTTTTGGGATTCTTCCATCCGTTTTTCCATATTATGCACAAAAGATACGTTCCCCGCCCCATTCATAATAATAAGTATAATAGTCAAAAATAAACATCGATTTTGCGTGGTTCTACGTCATACTGCGGTCGTGTCTAGGACCCAACCCTTTAATTTTTTTATCAAAGCAATCACACCAAAATCAGAGATGTTCCATTTTTTAAATTATTCGATTAACATCTAATCGATTATTTTTTGTTCACTGTGCTGTCATTTTTCCACTAGAGAAGTTAATGCTTATATCAGCATAATGTAAACGATTACAAATATTTTACTTTTCGGTTCGTTAATCGATTAATCGATTATTCGAATGAAATCCGTACACGAAACGAAAATCAATTATTTTATTCATGTGTTTCACTTATACATTTTTGCCAAAACATCAGCCTTATACATTTCATAAGACAAACGACATAGGTCCTATAAGAATGCATTAAAGGTATGTGTGACCGCTTATACATTTCATTTGACACATGATCTTCATTAACTTTTTGCAAAGCGTCTGCTCATTAGTTGACTTATACATTTTATGAATAATCAGCAATAGAAATTTGCCAAAAGGTATAAGGAGATTTCTATCCGTGTAAGCCTCTCTAACGTTTCGGATTCTAACCGTACATTTTCGCTATAAATGCTGCGGCCAGTAACTGTAACATAGCATTCCCAATGAGTCGGTGAAGGAAATGAAGCGATCAAATTTCGAAGTGTTTTTTCACCCATTAGTGGGTAAAAAAATACTTATTATGCAACCGTGAACTGATTCTTTAAATGCGTATTTTTTCACCCATTTTATGATTTCAAAATTCTCTTATTTTTTGACAGCTGCATACATGGTTTGAAAATGGGTTTTTTACCCATTAATAGGTTTTTACGAAAACCGTTTTTATGAAGATATTGAACAAACAATATGATGTGTCACATGATCGGTTTTGGTTTGAGACTCTGGCCATTTTCCAGGGAATTTGTCACGTATACAAAATTATAATGGCGACGCGTCAACATTGATCACGGCGGCAACGGCGTGGCGGCGCACAGGTCTAGTCTTCACACACCGCTTCACACCAATCGACATTGATGATGCTGACAACGGCTGACGTTTGCGAAGCTTGGCTGATGCTAACCGATCTTTTGTTGACATTCCTTCGGTGGCCTTCGTAAAGTGTGGTTCGCTTTTTGTTCGGCTTCGGCTGCGATTTTCTCGTCTGTTCTGTGGGAGGTGGAATCGTCAAAAAATTCGCGACATCAGTGCGTCATCGATGTTTTTTTTTAACGTTCTAAAAAAATAAAACCTAAAAATTAGATCAATAGTATTGTTTTTTTGCGTTTATTTTTTTTTCAAATTGTGCTTCTACTTTGTTTTGCAAATCGGGCTGATGGCGGAGGAACAAAAAATGTACTAAGCGGAAAGCAGCTGGCTGGATGAAAATTGATGTGCAATCGAAAACATTTTACTCGACAAAGAAAGGAGGCGTAACGCTAGAAGTAAGTAAATAAAACATCACAATTTTGCGGAAACGATGGATTTTGTTTATTGAGTTGATTGTGGCGATTGATGCTGATAAGAGTGAGGCATTGAAGAATGCTGTGCTGGTAGAAGAACAGTCTCGTTGCGTGCACTTCCTTTAGACGGGCATGCAAATGTAGTTCAATGGAACAGCTGGTCGTCCTGCAACTTATCGTTGTGAAACGTATTAATGATATCGTCCGGGGATTGGTGTTGTACGACCACTTGTCCAGGCAAATGTGGGGGCGACATGGAGCATCATCATATCCTAACAATGATAATAATAATAATATTTCATGAATTTTACTACATAGACGTCCTATAATTCCCACTGCATAACAAATTGCTTCCAACTATAATAGCTTACAAACACTTACTATAATATATTATGTTATATTATAATATTATCATAGCAGCCTGTTTAAATGCATATTGTAAGTGCATGTAAGCTTATATGGCTGTAATAGGTGGAAGAAATTTTTGAAGTAGCGGGGATTATAGACTCTATGTAGTAAAATTCATGAAATCAATTAGCCATTCATTCATGTTGTATCTTTTATTCTTTTTATTTCATGCTTCTGCTTCACATTGAATTCTGCTCTTCTGTAATGTGAGTGCGAATGTGTTGAAGCGCGTTCACGGGGCTTTAGTTTTCATCTTCATTCGCAGGCGGTGCGGTCTCATATTATCGTCTCGCTTTATGACCGTGTGAGTCATTAGTGGTAGTATACATATAGGAAACAGTTTGGAAGGTTCGTCACTTGATCGTCATTCCATAGTCTGTTTGATTTTTGAGGGCGTCTTTTGTCGTTTATCAATATCCTCCCATCATCATGCATAACGTCATCAGCTGTTTGTTCTAGACATAAAGGCCATCTACCCTTCGCCCGTTTGCCTGCAGGGTCGCTAATGTAAATTTGTTGTCTATTTTCAGAGTTAATTGTTCTGGATCCCGTCCACGTCATCGTCTAAGGTACTGAAAAAAGTGCCGCTATTGTTCAGAAAATGATAGCGGCCAACAATGCTCGTAGCACCAATAATGATCCGGTGGAGACATCAGAATCTGCACCCATCACCGGAGCCGCCAATGGTGGCTCCTCCCGGATAATGCGCCAGTTTGGCAGCTTGTTCCAACCGGCGGTGCAGCGCAACGATCCCGCCGGATATGTAGAGTTTGGCAGCATCTCCGACCCGGAGGCACACTCCAGCCGGACGCTGGGAACCTTTGCCGGTGTATTTTGCCCGGTGGCACTGTCTATGTTCAGTGCGTTGGTGTTTATTCGAGTTGGTAAGTGCAGGTTCCAGTTGTTCGTAGGTATGCGATTGTCAATAATTTACGTATTTCTACTGCTTTCGCTCTTAGGATTCATTGTTGGAAATGCCGGCCTGTATGTTACGCTGTTGCAATTCGTGATTGCTTATGTAATATTGTTGTTTACCGTTTCATCGGTTTGCGCTATCTCGACCAACGGAGCCGTGGAGGGAGGCGGTGTCTATTGTGAGTATATTTGCGTGGATCGCTGCTTGGTGTCGGTGGGCACTCCTCAATCGATGTAATACTTTTTTTTATTGGAATAATTAAATTGTGATTGAAGAAGTGTCCAAGACGTAGACATATCTAACCAGATATATTTTTCTTTTTGATTATCATTATTCAACCATTACCGTTCTCTCTCTCTCTCTCTCTCTTTCAGTTATGATCAGTCGCACGCTGGGTCCGGAATTTGGAGGATCTATTGGGACTTTGTTCTTCCTGGCCAATGTCGTCGGGTGTGGTCTGGCGATATCGGGTTGCGCCGAAGGCATAATCCAAAACTTTGGCCCAACGGATGGCGACGATGTGGGTTCGATTCCGGATGGTCGCTGGTGGCGTTTCCTGTACTGCAGTTCCATCAATACTTTCATGCTGCTGGTCGTGTTGATCGGTGCGGAAATGTTTGCCAAGACTTCGATGATGATTCTAGGAGTGGTTGTCGTTTGTCTGATGTCGACCTACGTGAGCTTCCTGTCGATGGGGCCGCTGCAGGTTGCAATCCCCGTGGAAAACAGTTTAGTGCAAAATGCGACCCATAAGGTAATGGCTAACTACACTGGTCTGAGCATGACCACGTTGGCGGAAAATCTCTACAGTCACTACGGGCAGGATTATACGTCCGATGGAAACGAAGTCAATTTCGCAGTGGTATTCGGTGTGCTATTTTCGGGTGTAACAGGCATTATGGCTGGTGCTAACATGTCTGGTGAGCTGAAGAATCCATCCCGGAGCATTCCCGGTGGAACTTTATCTGCCGTTTTGTTTACATTCCTTTGCTATATTGCTCTATCCGTACTGATGGCTGCGACCACGTCCAAGTTCTTACTGCAAAACAATTTCCTATTCCTGGGTCCGATCAACCTTTGGCCGACGTTTGTAACGATCGGAATTCTCACGGCAACCTTCTCGACGGGGCTGAGTAACCTGATCGGATCCAGTCGTGTATTGGAAGCGTTGGCCAAAGATAAAGTATTTGGATCCTTTTTGAACTTTGTCGTTCGTGGAACGTACAAAAGCAATCCGATTGCGGCCGTCATTGGCAGCTGGGTGCTGGTGGAGGCGATCCTTCTGATCGGATCGTTGAATACGATCGCACAAATCAATTCCGTCCTGTTTATGCTGTCTTATCTGGCAACCAATCTGGCTTGTTTGGGAATCGAAATTACGGGAGCTCCCAACTTCCGGCCAACGTACAAATACTTCACCTGGCACACGGCTTTCATTGGTTTGATTGGAACCGGTGTCATGATGTTTGTCATCAATCCAATTTACGCTTCCTCCAGTGTAATTCTGTGTCTACTGTTGGTCATTGCGTTGCATCTTTTCTCACCAGCATCGCAGGGGGCACAGTGGGGTTCCATTTCACAAGCTCTCATGTTCCACCAAGTTCGAAAGTATCTCCTCATGTTGGACTCCCGTAAGGATCATGTCAAATTCTGGCGCCCACAGATGCTCCTTCTCGTGTCCAGTCCACGTTCCTGTTGTCCGTTGATCCATTTCGTCAACGACATGAAGAAGGGTGGTTTATACGTGGTGGGTCACGTGAAGGTGGGAGAATTTTCCGATAATGACTCCTCCAACGATCCGACAATCGAAGAGTACACCCAGTGGTTGTCGCTGATAGATCACATGAAAGTAAAGGCCTTCGTAGAGCTTACTCTCTCCAAGAGCGTTCGGGAAGGAATACAACACCTAATTCGTATCTCCGGCATGGGAGCCATGAAGCCCAACACGATTATTCTCGGATTCTACGATGAGGAACAATCGAAGGACTTTTTCGAACAGTAAGTTTGACTGCTTTTTCGCAACACTGGTAAAAATTCAAATTGCTTCTTTTCACAGTGAAAACTCACCGTACAAAACGGCCGAATTCGACGACAACGGAATCAAACTGTTCCCGTACAGGCGCAATGGCGAACAGAAGACTCTACTGCCCACGGATTACGTCCAGATCATTGACGATGTGCTACGGATGAAGAAGAATATCTGCCTTTGCCGGCACTTTCATCGATTGGACAAGCAAATGATCGCCCGCAGCGTCCATATCCGGTATATCGACGTGTGGCCGGTGAATATTTTCGAACCGAAGAACGAGGACCCATTCGATGTGGTGTCGCAGTTCATGATGCAGCTGGCCTGCATCATCAACATGCTGCCGGTATGGAAGAAGCTGGAACTGCGAGTATTTCTATGCGAATCTGAAACGCAACCGGAACCTAGGTAGGTCTCGTCGAGCTATTTCCTATTTCAATGATCGTTTACCACTCACACATAATGTCCTGTCTATCGCGTTGATTGTACATGATCTCATATTGGGTGTATTGTTCTATCTATTTTCATTTCTGTTTCGGTTCACAAACTGACCAAAATTGTCCTGCGCACGTCTCTTCTGTATGTATATGCATTGGAACGCCTCTGTTCTCCTATTGCTATGTATGTATTTGTAACCATGTCGTCCTCTAAATGGATCAAATTCACTGCACTGGATCACATTTTGTGAAAAAACTAACTAACAGTAGTTTCCAAATGAACAGTGCTCCTTTCGAGCGTCCGGCCGAGCATCGTTTGAGCCAGTTGCTGAAGTCGCTGAGAATTTCCGCTTCGATACATCAGGTCAGTATGGTCGATTATTTCCAACGAAAAAAAGATTATGATTAACGTGTAAACTTTTGTAGATTCCCGAGTGGAGCAAGGATATGGATTTCCCCCGGCATCGTAGCATTCTTAAACAATTCACCAGCAAGAGCGATAGCAACCAGGTCATGACGGAAGAGAACATCAATCGCTCCAAATTGTACATGCAAAGGTAGGTCAATTTCCGACATCGACATCTATACCTGTGATTATCATTGGCGAACTATTTTGCAGGGTCAATCAAATCATCCGAGATAAATCGAACGCTACGGCCGTTACGTTCATGTACCTTCCGGAACCCCCCAAGCAATCGACGATCGACTACAAGGAAAAATGTCATCACTATTTGGATCTCCTCACCGAGCTAACGTACGACTTGCCACCAACGATATTGGTTCACGGAATCAACACCGTAACGTCCACTACGCTGTAGACTTGATGTCTGCTATAACCCGCGTCTTCTGCTAGAAGGTGCTCAGAGTTCATGTGTTACGAACAAACCAAGTTTCTTCGCTGTTTTTTAACGAAATTTTCCAATTTATTGTGTTAACGAACATTGTTTGTTTTGATCTTGCTTTTGCGCGCACACACTCACATAAAATATGATTGTCATTGAACTAGAATATCGTTATTGTTTCTCTCGTATCTCCTTCAGAAAGTAACATGCAATACACCTCACTCAATAAGCTTTGTAAGTTCTCCGCCGCACTATTATAGAAAGGACCACCCGCATGGTCCTGGATAGTACTCTATTAGCGAGTTAGAGACCAAGACTAGTGCATTTTTATTATTTATTACATTTATGGTTTAAAACTAATAAGTGTCTGATTGGTATTAGTTCTATAGCGTATTCATGGATTAGGATAAATTTAGAAACATACAAAAATACTAAGTAGCAAATAGACAACGTTGGCAGAAAGTGAGTGGACTTCAAGACGGGATGCTATTGCGTAACGAGAACAGAATTTAGGTTATTTGCATACAATTTATTATTCTCTAGTTGTGATGAACAGAACAAAAAACATTCTGTGTAACTCTACATTTCAACGTACTACAAATCTGAGAGACGAGAATTCTCAGAAGACAAGTATATAGATATATTTGAGATGGTATACTGATTGGAACTGATAATAATGAACTTATTATTATAGATGTCTAATATATTTTACTAGAAAATAATAGTAACTTTCAATGCATATATCACCCCCATTCGGCAAGGCTGCTGGAATCTATTCGAGATGGGTTGATTTCCTGCAGTGATGGAGGTAGATCGAGTTGATCTTCCGTCTCGTAGGTCCAGAACTGTTTGCACTCGATAGCCTCCTTGGCATGCTTTTCGGCTCGTTTGTTGAGAAATTTCTGCGTGATCATTTCAGCAGAGTTGAGTTTCTCGATCGTGTCGGCGAGCCGCATGGTTCTTTGGCAATGGAGGCGTTGGACTGGAAAATTAATATAAAATTCAATTGTTATGTCCTAATGGGTAGGAGTTGGTCATAAGATACCTTTTTGCTGAAGTCGTTTCAGCTCTTTAGGTTTGACGTGACTGTAACGACAGGAAGCACCGAACGTGCACTCGTCAAAGGAGATCAATGTTCGACAGGGTTTCTTTCCGAAATTTTCCGCTAGTAGCTCCGAGACATCTAGGAAGTATGCGTGTTTGAAAAATAATGAAAAATTATAGAAAATATGGTTTTTGTGTTTTAACTAACTTTACCAACACTACTTCCAACTAAACAGTTCCCCTAATATTTAAATAGTTTGTTATGTTAGCCAGGAAATGATATTGATTGCGCATATTATAAGTACGCTAAGATCACGATGGTAAATGACAGGTGGGCAGGAACTCACAGTCTCCCAGTGTTGGTGAGTTCTTTGCCGTTAATGTTCACGAAAAGTTCACTATTTTGCTATACAAAAATTCAAAACAAAAAATTTTATCTGCGGATTTGAACAGTTTTTGACCAGTTTCATACTACCGGAAGGTGTATGCTGGTCACAAATGCCGTGCCAAACTGATTTCCTACTCAATTAATCAATCTTTGATGTGAAATTCGCTAATAAATACGAGGCGCATTTCTTATAGCAAACATGCCATAACAAAATGGGAATGGTTCATTTATGTAAACAAACTAACACTTCTTCCGACTGTGGCACCTATGTATTTCCCATCGTGCGCTAAGATCCGCACTCCCTTAGCTCAGTCGGTACAGGCGAAGCTACAAAGCGAGACCATGCTGGAGGTGGCTGGGTTCGATTCCCGGTCCGGTCTAGGAATTTTTCGGGTTGGAAAATTTCTCGACTTCCCTGGGCATAGAAGTATGATTGGACTTGCGACTTAATTATACTAATGCAAAAATTGTACAGGCATCGAAAGCTCTCAATTAATAACTGTGGAAGTGCATCTAGAACACTAAGTTGAGAGCACGCAATAAGCTTATATGTGATATGCAATAAGCTTGAAATGCGAAGAAGAAGAAGATCCGCACTTCGCTAATAAAAGTGCGTTTTTACGTTCAATAATTTTTGTGTGTTTTCGGCATACTTATTCCTTAGTTGATAAAGAATAAGTGCGTAAAAGGCACCACGACGATACAATGCCATAGTGTACTTTTATTAGCGATTCCGCACTTTTGAGGAGTCCAGTTTTAAATGCAAAAACTAAGCATTGGAAGTCGATTTGAGCGTAACTTGTTATTCAAAGTTTACTAGAAATTACTTTCTCAAACAGTTCTTAACTGCAGGCGTTTGTATCGTCTCTTTGCTATTATGGTCTTAACCAAAGCAAGAAAATAAATTCAAGAAGTAATTCTTGATGGTAGATCTTCATCTTGGGGAACACAATAATTCGTAAGCCATATGTAGTAAGGTCTTGCATCGAATATTTATATTTTCTACATTAAATGTTTGATCCGTTCATACTTACGTGAGATGTGTTTTCTGAGATCCCTTTTTTCTCAGGTAAGAAAACGTAAGCAATCTCAAAGCCGTTTGTTGTGACCGATTTGCATGCACGCGTCTCAACAACCCCTCACCAGTTAATGAATAATTATTGAATGTTCCCTCAACCACAGCCTGAGTATATATATTCTAGACAGCTATCCGAGTACGTACTGAAAGCTTGGGATTGTCTAGATATCGTCGGTTTCATGCAATACTGTCACAACTAGAAATTTTTCATTTTTGAGATTTTGATGGCAAATTAGGTGTTTTCATGCTGCTTTTTACAGCACTCACCGCCAGAGAGCGAGTAGCCTTCAATCGTGTGGTACTCTGGAACAGGAACCAACTTCTAAATTCACTTCACGGAATCGGATTTACAGAGTATGTAGTAAATAAACACGTCTTACTCTTCCAGATGTATAATTTATTCTACCCGAGCTTACGTATCTAAAGTCGTAGCCTACTACTAACTTACTACTATAGATAGCACATCTCCCTTTTTCTAGGATGTATTACAATCAATTAAGCTAACAAAATCTCTTCACTTCTCATAGACTTTGAGTCCATTTTGTAATGACTCAAATCTTAATACCAGGCATGGGAACTTCACAATCCTCAGCTGTAAATCCTGCAAAATCTTCTTCTAAAGCTTCATAGTTTCTGGTTACTAAAGAACCAGATTCATCGGAGTTGTTCAATGTTTCCTGCAGTGATGATGTCACGTCATTTCGTACCTTCTTCAGATGAGCCACGTTCCTTTCGTAGGTTCTTCCGGAATCTTGATCTTCTATTGTAACTCTGGGTCCCGACCGATTTGTAACAGTGTATTTTGTTCTCTTGAAAGTCGTCGATAGTTTATTCCCTGGAGTGAGATTTTCCATGAGTACTGTTCGACTCCTTCGCATGCCGTCTGATGTCCTCTCTTTCTTTCCCTTTTTGTTTGTTTAGAAAATCTAGATCACGATAATCAGAGGTTGGAGGTACGGTTTCAATATCGTCAATAGCTGGTAGCTTGGACCTTATTGTCCTTCCACAGAATAACTCCGTTGGCGTCTTTCGAGTTGTAGAATGCGGAGTCGTATAGTAAATAATCAAGTAATCTTTTAAATCACTCTTCCAGTCCCTGCCGAGCCCGTGGCTGATTTGTAACCTCTTCAAAAGTGATCTATTTTGGCGCTCAACTAAACCATTCTCCTGTGGCCAGTATGGTGCAGAATGATTGAGCACGATGCCGTGAATTTTGCTGTAATCTTCAATTTCCTTACCAATGAACTGCTTGGCGTTGTCGAGTGTGATAGTTCTAGACTACCCTAAACGGGTAAAAAATTTACTTAGGCGTTCAATAGTTTCATGAGCAGTTATTCGAGTCATTACTTCGACCTCTTTGTACCTTCTGAAGTAGTCAATAACTACCAATAAGTATTCACCAGAAGGAAGAGGACTCCAACTTTTCTTCGATCCGACTAAGAAGCGCGATTGGAGGACGTCTGACTCGTTGAACAACAGGATACACGTCAATGTTCACTGGGATTCTCAGCTGCACGTTCTTCATTTTCGGAAAAGGCCTTCCTCCTACGGGCACGATACTGTTGACTGCCGAATCCAGTGTAGGAAGTCCAATCTTTAGCACCTCCAAGAGCTTTGCTGTATCTTTTCCCAACAACGGTTGAGAACCTCCGTCGACAACGTAGAATATAGCTGTTTCTTGCTTCCGATTTCCTCCATTTCCAACAGCGATTACAGATTCAAAAACATGAGACACAACCAACGGCTTTGCATCTCGATCATAACCTCGCAAAACTGTATTCGGAACGTTCCTTGGTTGCCAGATTTTGACTCCTTGTGCTAGCATGCTTCTCCAAGTGGTGTCATCGATAATATTTTTACTGCTGCCAGAATCTATTAACATTTGGATAAGTACACTCCTAAAAATATGCACGTCCGATTCACGTTAAAAATCACGTAGCTGATTTGATTGCTTCTATTTCCAATATTACGTGATGGTAGTAAAACTGACAGACATTTCAAGTCATGTTTACTAGAGCTGGTGATGAAAGTGACGAATTGTTCACATAAATATTTTGTGTACGTTTGTGTGAGTGTGTTTGAGCTTACGTGAAATGGATGTACGTGATTTGCAGGTATAAAAAAAATGCAATATGGCGTCATCAAGCACATTAATGGAAGAGTTGCTCTCTGATTTGGAGTTTCCAAACGCTTTGCTGCAAATAATCGAAGGTATTTTTGATTTTTTCACAATATTTGAAGTCCAACATATTAAACTAATTATATTTATTTTGATTTCAGAGGGTAGCATTACTAGTTTTGATCTCTTGACAGTTTCTGAAGAACAGTTTAGGCAAAGGTTAAGCTAATAGGAGATGAAAAAGGTTCAATGAAATGTGTGCCATGTAACTATATTTTAATTAAATATATGTAATATTATAAAACAATAAAATATATACTTGTTTAGTTACACTTAAAGTTATTATGCACGGCGTAAAGTGATGTGAGTTTCTGCCGCCAGTGAAGGAACAAAAATCACGTTGTGTAACGTGAGACATTATACATCTCAGGCGGAGTTTCACGTCACACAAGGTGGCTTTTGTCGCTTCAATGGTAACAGGCAATCACATCGCACGCTGAACAGAATTACCATGATTCAGAAAAAAAACAAACGACTTCCAGTAAATATTATTACAAGAACGGGTAAGCATTACGTGAAAATCCGGTCCAATCAAAATGAAATGCACGTTACGTTTAATTAATTTTCCAGTAAATGTCATTCCAGGATCACGTAAACGTTACGTGAAAATCCGTTGAGATTAAATTTGAAATCACGTAACATTTACCTTACTACTCACGTTGACAACCAGACGAAAATATGTTCAGCTACAAGATATTCACGTAAATTTTACGTGAAAAGATATATGGACGAAAGCTACCTATATTTTCACGTAAATCGGACGTGCATATTTTTTGGAGTGTACATTTCCAACTTCGACCCAAAGAAATTCATCACCGTCCCCGATGTTACAAATGAAACTCTGTAACTCAGCATGGCCTTTATCTTCAGTTTCACCTTCTTGCCCGTAGAGTAGGAATGAGGTTCGCCATATTTACGTTTCGTTGCAGAACGGCACACGCGGGCAAAGTGACCAAACTTGCTACACTTCTCACATTTTTTGTTACGCGCTGGACACTGTCGATCATTCCCGTAATGAGTCTTCTGTCCACATCGATAGTAAGAACCGTTTGCTGGCTTACCACTTCCAATCACACGGTTCACGTTGTCTCTCGAGCTCGCTACAAAAGAAGTAGTTGACGAACTGTTTTCATTCCCAGCGATGACCTGGACCTGATGCTTGATAGACTCGAATGAATGAACCATCCGGGTCACTTGTGGTAACGTGAGTGTCTCCTCATGCAGAAGTTTTTCCCTCAAATCCATTATTTTGTCAATGATACGAAAATCTCGGCTTTCAGCTGCAGTCTTACCGAAATTACACTTCTTCGCTTGCTCAGTACATCGCATCAAACATTTCGTTAGCGGCTCACGCAATCCTTCAGATGTACATCCCGGTGTCAGCTTGCAAAACTCATTCCTTTCGAACGAATCGTGTTGTTTTGGTGAAAAATGACCGTCCAATTTTTCTATTGCTGTTTTGTACGGATTAATTCCATTTTTTTCATCTTCTTGAACATCTGCTCGGGAATCTCCATATCAACTAGTTTAGCCACCCCTGGCGGGACATCTGTCCGATTTGATGGTGGAAACCATTACTCAATTGGGTGAAATTTCATTCTTCAAAAACCCACTTTGAAATTTGTGAAAAAATCGATAGTTATAGCATAGAGGTAACTTGGTTATAGCACGTTATAGTTAAATGTGCCTTTCCGGCTACATATCTCAGAATATTGTTTTATTTCGAAGTTCGAGTGGTAGTAAACGTCATTTCTACTGCGTCAGGTAAAATTATTAACTACTTATTTACTATTCTACTATGTTGTTTGCATCAGAATTGTTAATCGCTCACGTCTGCAATAGTGAATTTGTCGACAAGTTTAACAACCTGGTTTGCACTGACGTTCTTACCTTTACATCGCTCGTAATGAGCAGCCCGATTGCGAATGTGTGGAATTCCTTCATTGTGTTTCCGCACGATATCCGGATCTCGTTGGATGTGTTTCTGACAATAATCGCAGTAGTATTTCTTACCCATTGCCTTTGCATAAATAAAATCTGCCTAATACCGAAAAGAAAAATCACAACATAAATTTATTTCCAAACAGCTGTTCTGGCTTATCAGTCAAAACGTCTGAATAACACGTTTGAGGCATCGGATGAGGCTGATTCCCTTTGATGATTGACAATGATCATCTAAACGTCAAAACACAGCCAAAAGCGGCATGCCAGTGTAAACATTGAACGAACACGCGAAAGGACCTTCCAACGTTTACAGCGATTTTTGTCCTAAAAACCGGATAAGTGAAATTATCCTATAGATCCAAAGATGATAGCCCTAGTGGATGGACCAGTTTTGCCGGGATTCCGCGTGGAAGAAGCTATAGAGATGGCGAAAGCTAACAAGAAGGTTGTGTTGGGACCGGGACTTCGTCAGGACAAGGACGATGCCGTGTTGGTGTGTAAAAGTGGTGTGCTGCGAAAGAAAGCTCCCAATACGTTTTGGGTCGACTGTTACCAGAAGCGCTACGTTCCCAACCGTAGTGAGATTGTAGTGGGAATTGTTACGCAGAAAGCCGGGGACATCTTCCGGGTGGATATCGGCGGCAGTGAGCCGGCTTCGTTGTCCTATTTGGCGTTCGAAGGGGCTACCAAAAAGAATCGCCCCGATGTCAACGTGGGCGATGCCATTTGCGCACGGTTACTCATTGCCAACCGAGACCTAGAACCCGAACTGATCTGCGTGGACTCTCATGGAAAGAAGGGCAAATTGGGAGCATTACAGGATGGCTTTGTGTTCAACTGCAGTATTAATCTGGTCAGGAAGATTCTGAACCCGAAATGCCCCTTTTTGGACCTGCTAGCGAAGGAAATGGCGTTTGAGATAGCTGCTGGAATGAATAGTAGAATTTGGATCAAGGGAAAAACCGTGAAAGAGACCATTGCCGTGGGGAACGCCATTCTAGCAGTCGAGTTAAAATCGAACGACGAACTGAAGCAGCTCTGTGACGATATCGGTGGCTACGTCGCTGGATTTTCCTAAGTTAATAAATATACTATCTTTTGAATAAAATAACATTGTCTTTTTCCACGAAAGAATAATCCATCAAACTTCTGTTTGTACTAATTTATTAACCGTGTTAAAAATACACGAATGGGGACGATGACGATATACAATAGTGATATACCTTAAAAACTACAAACGAATACGCATAATTTCAGTCGACAGTGATCCGATGAGACGGTTCTTCCACTTCTGGCCGGCGGAAGCATCAGTCATACCGTTTGATTTAGCTTGGGATCGACGATCCGTTCTCCATCTTCATCGCTTTCGTTCTGCATGGCCTTCAGCCGTTCCAGGAACGTATCCATTGTCATTCGCTCGTGCTTCGGAGCTCCTCCCAGCAGCTTCCGGACACGATTCTTCCGTGCTTTGGTCGTAGTCTTGTTTACGTTGAATCCATCCGAGCAGTTCAAACTACGCCGAACTTTTCGTTGGCCAAAAAATTTGTCCTTCGTAGCCGCTGGGGAACCTTCCTCGAAAATCGTCTCCAAGTTGGTCGGTTTGACATCGACTTTCTTGCTGTTGACCATGTAGTAGTTTCGGATTTCGTTTTCCGAGGCATTGAGATTGATTTGAAACTTGACCGGTTTGGCGATGGTTCGTCGCTTGATTTTGTGCAACTTGCTGTCCATGGATTTGGCTCGCGGGGACCGCCGTCGATGGACTTGACTTATTGGCGTTGAACTACATCCAGATGATTCGTCGTCTTTATCGTCCGAGTTGTCGTTTTCGGTTTGGTCCTCTTTTAAATTTAGATTCTGCTCCAGTGCTGACATTATAAATGGTAAATCGTTCTCGATGTTATAGCTGAAGAATATAAAAACATTTTTTATTTCTGGTAAAAACTATCCAGAATTGCACACACAAAAAATGTTCCGATCTATACCTGAATGCTGCTGTGGTGGTGTCTGTGTTGTTTTCGATGCTGGCTAGGAACTGAAGTGGAATTTTGTCCATCGAGATCACAACACAATAATAACGAAAGAGTGGATAATACAACAAAAAAATGAAAGGAAGCACTATAAGCAGCACATTGTAGTTAAATAGCTGGACAGGAATGAATCTAATTTTGTTGTCGATTTCAACGCCCAAGGCTTTCAAATTGTTATCCGCTTCACAAAACACCCGTTTCTTTTTTATAACAAACTCGTTTTACAAGAATATGCGCGAGCATGAATGAAAGACGTTTACGAATAAAAACACGGAAAAGGAATTTATTTAAGTTCATTTAACCAATATGACACTTCATCTTCCATTGGCAAGGGCTAACATCGACCACCAGGAAACTGGGTAAAATCAAGTGTTGCGTTTGCACTTCATTTTGGATGAAAAATCGTAATGTGCATGGCGCAATTACTTTCAGCTTATTACTTTGCTAAAAGCTGCGGAATATGCAGCTATTTAAGTGATTTTTTTTTAAATTGGTGAAGTTAATATCCCAAACTATACGGAATAAAGTAAAAGGTACTCTAATGAAGGTGATAAACGTAAATCAAACTATCCAGCTTTCCATGGAGCTCCCAGGAACAGAAGAAAATGGAACAACATACGCCGTCCAGTTAGTTTCAAAAAGCACAGCGAAGGATACATTTATTCATACAAACAGGCCACCATAACCGAGCATGGAAAGCTGGATAGTTTTATTGTAGATCTCCATAAGACTGATGCAAATTTGAAAATTTTCGCTCCACAGTGCTTAAACGGTTCCAGATTGGGTCCTGCTTAGCCTCCCAAAATTTGAACTACTTTAGTAAGAAACTGACTTGGCACAAACTAGAAACACTGGAATAAGAGACCAGCGGAGAAAAAAAACATGAATTTGGCAACAAGATAAACATCAAAGTAATCCTGGCATCACTTGCATTTGTAACTGCTTGCGAGTGACTTCGCCAATGCACCGACGATCGAGTACATGAGTGATTGTTAAACGATTTCAATACTCCTCCCTAATTGAAACAAACCATTTGTAAACATTTCAGATTGGAACCGCTTTTGACAGTTCGATTGGAATCATAACAGTGTCTCCGCTGGTCTCTTATTCTAGTGTTTCTAGCACAAACCATTTCAAGTTTATATATGAAATTACTATGGGAAAACATACATGTTTTTGTTCATATCGATCTAACAATTCACCACATTACTATGCTTTTAAAAATGATAGCAGTGATTGTAGCTAATTTTCTCAGCTACAATCAAATGTAAGGAACAAAAGTTACACACAAAGAAAACTCGTTGCTAAAATTAAAAAAATCCATTGATATAATTAAAAGTTTGCGTTGGTTCTTTTTGATAGAAAGTCGTTAGCTTTCAAACCGAAAGTCAGTTATCTGTCAAATCAAAAGTTGCTCCCTCACTACTTTTAAAAGTTGAAACTTTCGAATTGAATTGTACTACTGTCAAATGAAAACCATGACAATTTTAAAATTAAAAACGGATTAATTTTGCTTCAAAACAAACTTTTGGTTTGAAATTGTTGTACAGTTGAAATGACAGGTGTCATTTTGAATTTAAAAGAACAATAAATTTTAATTTAAATGCAAGCATTTTCATTTTAAAGTCCTCTCATTATTTACTTTATAACCGTTATTTATTTTTCAAATTATTATATTTTTTTATTCTGTTCTGCAGATTCTGCTGCTCTGTCATAACATCCCTTCAACTGATAAAAAAATTTCAATGCTTCCATACCGTTTGTTCACACGAGCTTAGTGGAGCCGTTGCCATTGATGTGTCCAAAGATCTCCCATCCGTATTCAATTTAACATCTTGACTCGCATTCTGGTCCCATCGTCCGGTACGATCTTTTTCTTCCTGCGAAACTGTTATGCCAACAGCATCGTTAGTTTTGGCCGCCATCCTCTCTTCCACCCGGCAGATGTTGAAGAAATCCAATCCCTGCATGTGATACTTTTCCAGCCGGAATATTCGATCTTCTCCTGAAGATGAATCGTTGCACCAAGATCAACACGGAAAGTCGAAAACGGTTAGCACTTAAAAAAAAATCAATTATTCACAGTCATGTCACAATTCCTTCAATCTTACCTATTGCGTGCGGAGTCACCAAATGAAACTAAATTTTACTTAAAGAACACCCGAGGGGACCCGAATAGAAATTTACATTAGCCCAACGTTTGATTTTGATGTCTACATCAGCATCGAAATCAAATGTATGCCTGATGTCAAACATTAGGAAACATTATGATTTAGTTGTATTTAAGCAACGTAACATGGTGTATACATCAGAAATTTTGGAACAAAATTTTGCCATTCTAATGTCGGTCTGACGTCAAAAATTTCAATCTATTGACATTAGAACCAAACGTTTTAAGGATGTTTTCAGATGTACAAAACGTTAGAACTAAACGTTGTTCGGATGTTTTTAAATGTAAACGTTTTCTGATGTTTTCTAATGTAGATGTTTCCTGATGTTAGAAACAAACGTTTTTGGATGTTTTCAGATGTAAAAAACGTTAGAACTAAACGTTTTTCGGATGTTTTTATATGTAAACGTTTTCTGATGTTTTCTAATGTAGAGGTTTCCTGATGTTAGAATCAAACGTTTTTCGGTTGTTTTCGGATGTAAAAAACGTTAGAACTAAACGTTGTTCGGATGTTTTTATATGTAAATGTATTCTGATGTTTTCTAACGTAGATGCCTCCCGATGCTGGAACCAAACTTTTTTTTGGATGTTTTCGGATGTACACAACGTTAGAACTAAACGTTGTTCGGATGTTTTCAATTGTACTTCGTGTTTGATGTTCTCTGATGTTTTCAGATGTACAAAACGTTTAAAGTAAACGCTGTTTGAATGTTTTCAAATGTAGATGTTTACTAATGTTTTTAGATATACAAAACACTAGAATCTTACTTTTCAAATGCTTTCAATTATATTTACAACACATTAGAACTAGAAACATGATCGTGTAAACACTACACACGATTGTTGTTAGATTACATCATAAAAATGCGTGCATAACAGTCAATGCTGAAGCTCCCGTTTCCCACCAGTCAGTTAACTGACCTTAGCTAACCTAATATCATTGCGGCAACTCTCTATGCGGCAGGGGAACTATGCCATTAGCGCGCTAAGAGTTGTTAGACCACTGACATAGGCGCCAATTTGTAGGTGACGACCCTAATAAAAATTGTATGGTTAATTTGCTTAACGACGTGTTCTGGGTATCATCCAAACCATTTATGGAATAGTTCAATGATTTGGGTTATCGTTCGTTTATGGTTATTTTTTATTAGGGGAGGCACTTGGTGACATTACAGCGAGCTTGACGATTTTTGCAGCATTTTTTTTAGCAAACTACCAGTTAAGGTGTGTAGTGTTTACAAGATCTTGTTTCTAGCTCTAATGCTTTGTACAATTGAAAGTATTGAAAAAGTTAATTCTCATGTTTTGCACAACCGAAACCATCAGAAAACATAAAATTGTACAAAAAAAGTCATCCATTCTGGTAGACTATCTCTTAAATGCATAAAGAATAGCCATTGCTTAAGCTCCCGTTTCCCACCAGTCAGTTAACTGACCTTAGCTAACCTAATATCATTGTGGCAACTCTCTATGCGGCAGGGGAACTATGCCATTAGCGCGCTAAGAGTTGTTAGACCACTGACATAGACGCCTATTCGTGGGTGACGAGGCACTTGGTGACATTACAGCGAGCTTGGCGATTGTTATAGCATTTTTGAGTGAACTACCAGACAATCATGACAATGTGATCGCTGCGCCTCCAGATCTCCCTGTGCCAATTTGTCAATAATGCATGACACTTTGGACGGGGTTGCTGGCTTGTTTGGTCCACTGTTCGGATATACAAGTGGCAAGCCTTCCCTTCACGGATCGCTCCAAAAATTGCTGCAAACGAACTGCAAATATATAATAAACAAAATTATTGTGCATGAAAAATATGACAATGGACAATGCTCGAGGAGCACTGGGAGTTTTCGAACGACGCGTGCTTAGGACCATCTTTGGCAGAGGGTATATGAAAATGGTGAATGGAGTAGAAGAATCAAGATAGAGCTGGAATTAGGGCGTAACAGCCTTTGTAAACAATGACTTCTCTTGTTGATTTCTCGGAATTCAAGACACGCCTACACAAACCAATATATCCATCGGGTAGTAGAAGTCTTTCTCTAATCGATGGTGATGTCGATTCGCCTTGGAGAGCCATGACTTCCGCGAAATCATCGAGAGAAGTCATTGATTACAAAAGCTGTTACGCCCTAGTTCCAGCTCTATTTAGGAATGAACCACGAACTGGCGTAACTTTATGGCGAACCCAATATCCAGAAAGTCGCTAAAAGTGGAAGATTGTACCCTTCCACGGGCGGGACACGTTGTAAGAATGCCGGACAACAATCCCGCAAAAATGGTGTTTTCCTCAAATCCGGCCGGTACAAGACGCAGAAAAGCACAGCGTGCTATGTGGTTAGTCCAAGTGGAGTAAGATGTAGGAAGTGTGGGACGCTCGAGAAATTGGAGACAAGCAACCAGGGACCGAGTTAGTTGGCGCAACTTGTTATACAGGTTAGGTTCCGAGGGATGTCGGATCAGCAAAAGTAAAGTAAGTATACAGACAAACAGACATAAAACTCGCAAGATGTTCATCGAACAAGCATTTATCGGTCAATTTAAAAGTATCTTAGTTGGTAGTACCGCCACCAGTGGCGCGCATAGTCAATTCCCTTGCGTTTGACGTTTCCACACTACCGCCATCTGTTCAGCGTACTACCCACCACAGTGTACTCAACAGAGGGCGGTAATGTTTTAACGACGATGTTTTACAGTGAGAAATATTCAATGTGTTATGTCTATTTGTCTGTGGTAAGTATCTTATACGTTGGCTAAATTGTTATCCAAACTGCCTAAAAGTTCGAAGAATAGTTATTAGATAGTACAGAATTCTAAATTGGCATTATTTATGAAAAATTTACATTAGAATTCTTAAATCTCAGTCTTTCCCTGATTGCGAACCACACTTTAAATTTTATATAAACTTGCGACCCATCTTGTGTACCATCATAAGGCTTGATGAAACTTATTCCGCCCGGAAACATGTTTTTTTCGGAATTATGAAGTCATTATAGGGCAGTCGGAGCGCTTCTTTTGTTTTTGGGAATAATGGGTG